CTCAACATCTCCTCTCGATGAACCCTCTCGCCAATTTATTTATTTATTTGTACAGATTTACTTATTTATTTGTTATTTGTTTCTGATTTATTAGTTGATCACGAATTTGCTATGCATTCAATCCACAACACAATCATAAAAAATAAAAAAAGAGGAATAGTTTCTCTGAACCACCGCGCCCTTCGCATTGATTGTTTGCACGAAAGATGGAGGAAGAAGGTGCGGTTGTGGTAGAGCGGCAAGATGAAAAACGCGAAGAAGCCGCACTTGGTTTAGACCCGAGCAAACAAATCGATCACAATCAACAACCCAACGAGGCAAACGAAACGGAGAAGAAGGAAGCTAGACCATGCGTCGTGCCTGCGCCGCAGCAGCCCAAAGTACGGCTGGGTGTGCGGCCACAGCTGTGCCGCTTCTGGCGGGGCAAAGAGGGCAGCTGCCAGCGTGGCGACGCCTGCCGCTTCCTCCACCAGGACTGGGACAGGCGCAATCACAGTACGTACCGCCCCCCCCCCCGTTGTTGACGTGGCTGGTGATGATGTTGATGGTGTTCATGGTGTTCGTGAATGTCAGACGGGCCGCCGGTGTGTGCGTTCTTTACGTCGGCCGGCGGCTGCAAGTGGGGCCGCGCCTGTCGATTCGACCACTCGGTGGTGAAGCTGATCGAGGCGACTGGCCCCACGCCCCGCGCCCCGCGCCTGCGCGAACAGACGCGCCAGCAGCGACGCACCGTCGACGCCAACCTCCGACGCCTCGGCGGGGGACCGAAGCCTGCGGCCGCTACACAGGCCGAAGCCCAATCATAGAATGTTGACATGATTATATGTTGATAGAGAGCCACATATATTGCGAAATATGTGTCTCGCTTCCATTTGTTCGCTCCACTGTAACACAAAAATAAAGATAAATACTGTGATCCCCCTCTTGATATGTATGCACACTGGAAAAGAAAGTAAAGTGGACGCGATGGCCGCCTTCCTGTCTACCGAGGAGCGCGCGTGTTGTTGATGTGCTGTGCTGTGCGGTGGTATGGTTTGTCGTGTTGCGCGTGTGCGCACACGCGGTCGCTTACTGCTGCTCCACTTGGGGAGGCTGAGGCTTCTCCGTCCTCTCGACCTTGTAGATGGCGTATCGCCCCGAGTCGCTCCTGTACTGCTCTGAGCAGCACTGTACGATGCGGAAAATGTTCGCGTTAGCGTGTGCGTGTGCGACGGCGTGTGGCGTGTGTCATGAGATGGTGTGTCGTGTGTGCGAGCAGAGCAGATCTGTGGGAGATTGGTACCTCGGACAAAAACGCCTCGTTGACGGTCATGTGCCACTCACGCAGCATGTAGGAGACGTTGTACTCCTTGAACCGCTCATAGGCCTTTTGATCACCGGCCCACATCTCCTTCACGTGCAGCGTGCGGTCGTACCAGCCGTTGTAGGCGTGCGAGTACAGCCAGCCTGTTGTCGCGCCGTTAAGATGTGAGCATATCTCTATATGCATATGTAGAAATCTCCGGTGCATGACGCTGTAATGTTGTGGTGCGCACCAGGGTATCCGGCAACATGCTGACGACCGGCGTTGGTGGAAACAGGCACGATGTGACCCTCGCTGGTAGCGAACACGGCCTGGAAAAAAAAAGAATGGGATTGATGTGTCAGCACCGTATGACCTCACAACGCCAAGCGCAGAAGAGAAGAGGTCGCCGTACGTAGGGGTCGGTGTGGTCGATGATCCACTGACCGGTGGCCAGGTCCTCGTTGTCCTGGAATCTCCAGTGCAGGTTGGGCTCACGGATGACGCTGATCACGCCGGTGAAGCACATGGAAACGACGAGCAGGATAACGACCACCTTGAGGGCGGTGGCCCAGGTGGCGGTCTGGAAGAACGGGTTGGCGCAGAACTCGTTGAACTTGACGACCACGGGAGAATCGTAGAACGGGGCCAGGATCGACTGGGACTGCTCGAGGCGCTGGTGGGGCGTGAGGATGGGCGAGGGCGCGGAGAGCTTGTCCCGCCTGCCCTTGACGCCGCTGCTGTCGCGGTTGAACAGACGCACGAGGCCGAGGCCGACGACGGACGAGGCACCGAACATGTAGATGTTGATGATCTTGATGTTGTCCTTGGTCCACGGCTGCAGAAGGAAGAGATTGGCGAAGGCGAACAGCGCGAGGTGGCCCAGATACCACTGCCTGTGTGACGAGAGCGCAGAAAGTACGTAAGTACATCGAACAAATAGCACAAGTCGCAACGCTGGTGAGGGACGCACTTTTGCTTGCCGTTGAGGATGAAGAAGAAGCCGAGGCTGAGGAACACAAAGAAACCGAGGGAGTAGAACCAGAACATGATCGGGTTACCAGTGCCAGAGAAAGAGGGATCGGTCCTGTAGTAGTGCGAGAACACAGACACACCACCCGGACGATTAAATACTGTCTGCCTGGAGTAGAAAAGTGCAGCCAACCACGTAGGAAGACGGGGAGGGGGCAAAGAGGTACCAGAGAGGCTTGAACTGAGCGAAGCCCCACTCCTTACCACGCTGGGCGAAGACGACGAACTGCGGGAAGGCCCACACGACGGCGATGATGCCGAAGCGGAGCCAGTTGAGGAAGTAGAAGGGCTCGTTGACCCACTTGAAGGTCTCACTGAGACCGTAGACGCCGAGGACGGCCATCACGCCCATCCACGAGTGGGCCTGGAAGAAAGGGAGCATGCCAGCCACGATGCCAGCCACGATGAAGATCCTCTTCTTCTCCTTGAGGGTGAGCGAGTGGCACAGAGGAGCGCTGGTGGCGGTCCAGAGGAGGATGAAGATCATCAACACACCAGGGTAGCCGAACAACGCTGGTCTGTAATCAGAAGGCAGAAACAGAGGAAAGAGATGAGCGACGCATGGTGACCTAGACACGATGGCGAAAGATGATGAGTAGCGTACCGCTGAGGAACCAAGACGTGTGTTATGGTCTGGAACCAGAAGAGTTCACCGTACTCCCAGTGTTGGGCAAAGTCGTTATCGACAAGGCCTTGTAGGAGATTGAGACGTGAGGCAATGCGAAGTGATAAGACACGAAGCTACGAGGAAGAAGAGATCGAGGGAGCGGACTGTCGGTGTAGCGTACCAGACCAGGTCATGCCGTGCTTGTGGATCCACGAGAAGAAGCCCACGCCGCCGGAGAAGCAGAAGAAAGCCACGGCCAACCAGCCGGCAGCTGGAGACAGCCCACGGCACGCCAAAGACGCGTGAGCGCCACGCCGAGGCGGTAATGGAAGAGAAAGGAGGGGCACGAGAAAAAAGATTTGAGAGCGAGAGAGAGGCGACCACACAACGTACCCTTGCTACCCTCGGTGAAGCGGAACGTGTAGAAGTAGAGAAGGCAGCAGATGGACCAGGACATGAGGACGCCGGGGCCGAAGAACGCGTGGCGCACGGAGAAGCCGCCCTTGATGAGCATGGCCGAGTGGTAATCGGGAAGAAGAGTGTACTGGAGGGTGGTGCCCGAGTAGATGGGGTTGGACAGAGCCCACGGCTTGAAGTGCACATTGGGGCCGTAGAGGAAGGAGCTGATGATGTCGAGATGGAAAGCGATGTCTCCCCAGCAGCCACCTCCCGAGTAGGAGGCGCCATCCTCGCCGATCGAGAGCGAGTGGTGATCGAAGAGGGTGTAGAACATGATGAAGCAGAGCAGAGCGAAGATGTGGAACATCAGGCCGTTGCCGTTGCGCACGTACTCCCTGAACATCTCAGCGTAGGGAGAGTTGGAGCCCTTTCCCGACATGTAGGCTGCGTTGGTCGACGCGGCCGTGATGAAGCGGAAGTTCTCGATCGACATCTTAATCTTCTTGTAGGCCGACTTGGCGTAGAGCAGCACCAAGACAGTGAAGAAGGCATTCGAGATGATGATTCCCTGCTCGTTGAATTCGTTGTACCAGAAGCCCTGCACGATGAAGCCAATCCAGCTCGACGACAGGATGCTGAAGACGATCGAGAAGAAGAAGACCTCGTTCAGCGAGAAGGCCGGGTGGAACCACGTGATGAAGAGGAACAGGGTGCCGAGGAAGCTCGCCCCGAGCATCCACAATCCTTCGAGGTACGCCATCTTGTTGTCACCTGTGACACGCACACGCACTGGATCGATCAGCGGCGCTCCTACTTACTCGTAACACAAGACTAATTTTCACACATCAAGAGGATCCACCGCGATCAGCCAAAAACAAAAAATCACTCCAATTCTTCCTTGATCCATTCATTCCTTTGCTGTCGGTTGTTGATGCGCGTGTGTACCTGTTGCCTCACTGGTGCTGTGGCGAAAGATGGAGGTGAGCGTGCCGCTACTTGCGGTAGCTTCACGGGGGCGGAGGCAAAGAGGAAAATGGCGTGTTTTCTCGCAAGACCACGGCTCTTTCCGTCCCATCACGCGGTGGAATGATTGGTATGGTTTGTTTTCTTCATGAAATTGGGGATCATCGGCAGGTGCCCTGTACCTGGTACATTCCACCACCCTGTACCGCACGACGCACAACCTTATCTGAAATCGGCAGATTGTGCTAGGCGTGTGGCCACCGCGCCGTAAAGGTGCTGAACAGGAGCGACGGTCTACAGCCTTCCCTCCACCTCCCGACTGCGTAACTCGCTACCGACACGTACGAGTGGAGTGAACTGTGAACCAAGGGATGGCACGGAGAGACGGAATGAGGTGGGCAATTCGTGTGATTGGAGAAACTGTTCGAACTCCGTAGCGGTTGTTTTCAAGAACCATTTTCTCCACGAGCGCCTGCCGAGGAGGATGGAACGAGGGACGGCCGGCTCGTCATTCCTTCTTGTGGGGTGGGTGGTCCTTGCCGAGTGTCTCCTACTACTGGTCGAACCTACCCTCGCGGTCCACTTCACCGGTACACAAGCTTTGCCCAAGACTTGGAACTAAATAAATAATGAAGTTCATTATTTATTTAGTTAGTCTGGTGGCCAGTTTCCTTTTTTACTTGGGACTTTGTTTATTATTTGATTCACTTCAACTCCGGCCAAAACGCTCCAGCGTGCTCCCAGGGTTCATGCGACTACACGTCCATCTCCACGGCTCTTTCAGCTATGGCGAGTGGGGACTCGCTCAGCGTTGCCGCGGGCGACTACGAGGAGTCTGTTGTCATCCTCTCTGACGACATTGCCATCCAGTACGAAACCTCATTGGTCTCATTTTCCTTTTCCTTTTTCTTTTTTTTAAAAACATAACAAGACGTAAATATAACTCATCTGTGTCTCAGTTTTGAAGCGGGCGCAATCGTCAATTGCCCTTCCGCAGCTAACGCGAGTGGAGCGTGGCTCAGTATCTACAGCACCGTCGCCATGACTGGAGAGCTCACCCTCAAAGATGGTGTGTTCCTGTGTGTCGTGTGGGGTGAAGTGTTGTGTCTGTCGTGTCGTGTGGGGTGAAGTGTTGTGTCTGTCGTGTTGTGTGTGTGTGCGTGCGTGTGTGTGTGTGTGTGGTGTTCTTACTCGATCACTTGGAGCGCACAGGGGGGATAGCGGTGCTTTCTTCTGCCGCCTCGTTCAACCAGAGCGGCAAGATCGACATCACCATTGTCGCCTGTTCTGGAGTGGGTATGTTTTTCTGATTTGGCTTGCTTTCCTCTACAGTGCTGACCATTGCCGCGACACGTGGGCCACCACACACACACGACACACACACACGATCCACAGTGCACTGTATGCGTCTGGGAGCTGGCGTGTGGATCCAGGGTGGAGAGTTCTTGTGCAATGCCAACGGTTGCTCTTTCGGCGCCTGCGTGCAGTTGGCCGCCAACACCCAATGGCAGCAGAACGGCCAGGCCACCATCACGGCCCAGACCCAAAGCCCGGATTTCTCGACAAGCTCTGGCACGCAGTACCCCGCTCCCCCCAATCGTGGCGGAAGCTGACGTCAGCATTTTATCATCAATCACCAATTGCGCACCACCAGGCGTTAAACTCGAAGCGGGCAGCGTGTGGCTGCAGAACGGGTCACTTGATCTCAATCTCATCAACAGTCACGGTTTCTTCCCACCAACGGCCGTTGCTCGTGCCGTGTGTCGTGTGTCGTGTGCCGTGTGTCGTGTGCCGTGTGCCGTGTGCCGTGTGCCGTGTGTCGTGTGTCGTGAGTGCATGCCCTTCAACTAAACCTCGGGCATGCGCGTACCTAGGGATTTCCGGCAGCGGTGCGTGGTATCAAACGGGTGACGTTTCCGTCGAATCGTATGGCGCAGGGAAGAAAGGTGCCACATCGCCACAACTCCGCAAATAAACATATACGTATATATTTCTATGGTTGTGATGACAGCACTATATTGCGCTGGAACCAGCTCACGTTCTATTGTCTTGCCCCAGCCGTGCAGATTGAGAACCTGTGGCAGCAGGACGGGACTCTTCATCTGATCACCCAGATGGGCGTAGGTGCGAGGAACCACCTGGCTCGCCGCACACGCGCATTGACTGAAATCGGGCGATTGGGCCGCGGCTCTCCAAAAACAGGGGTGGAGTTGGCAATCAATTCGGCGACTTGGCAACAGAACGGACCCGCCAATTTCGAGGTGTCGGCAGGATGGCAGGGCCAAGACCTGCTGCCCGCCACCGGTGCGTCTCCTTCTTTGGTTCATGCGAGTTTCAACCCAAACCCACTGTGTGCTGTGTGCTGTGTGCTGCGTGCAGGCATTACCCTCGGCATCGCGCCAGCGTGGAATCAAGTCGGCAGCCTGTACCTCTATGTCGCCGGTCCCGGTTCTCAAGGTCTGTAGCACCGCCCACACATCACCGCCGCACACGCACCCGCACACACGCATTCATTCTGAAACGCACGCGCACATGCACCATTTGGCGTGTGTTACACTGCACACACAGGCCTTTACTGCGACCCGGACCTAAACGCCGGGTGGACCAGCGACGGGCCCGTCGAGGTGAACGCCACCAACAGCGCCGTGCGCGGCCCGTGCAAGCCGATGAACGGCATCAACTCGAGCCCGTCGCCGTCTATCACCCCTACGCCCAGCCCCACGCCGTCGGTCACACCATCGGTCACTCCTACGCCCAGCCCCACACCGTCGATCACGCCCACGCCGTCGGTCACGCCCAGCCCCACGCCCAGCCCGACGGCGACATCGACACCAACGCCGTCGGCGACAGCATCGACAACGAGGAGTCCGAGCCCGACGGCGTCGATGACTGCCACCCCGTCGCCGACGTGGAGTCCGTTGACGAGCCCGTCGCCCACGCCGTCGGTGTCCCCGAGCTCGTCTCCGGTCTACCTGGTCTCCAACACCACCCAAGTGGCCGTGGTGCCCGTGCTGCTGTTCAACCTCACCGCGCCCGACGTCGTTCTCGTCCCCAAAGGTTCGTCGTGTGCTGTGTCGTGTGTGTCGTGTGTCGTGTGTCGTGTCGTGCGTGTCGTGTGTCGTGTCATGCACTGACACCGGTGCTGGGACAGACAATGAGGGTCGTGCGCGATCGGATGCGGCAGTGGGCACCAGCATCGCCTTCATCCACGAGCTTTCCGCCAACGGCTCCATCGTCCGCTCAGGCTTCCCTTCCAACGGTACTGAAAAACAATGACTCGCTCACACCCGCGGCCCAAACCGCGGCACAACGCAAGCAACACACGACACGCACCAAACGGCACACGGCACACACGACTAACACCACTCGCCGCACACGTCCATCACCAGGTTCGTGGGCTCAGGTCGAGGACGACCAGTTCAACTCCACCAGCTCGTTCCTCTTCAAGGCTGACCTCTTGACCGACGACCTCGACGCGGGGGTTGTCACAGGGCGCGCCAACGAATCATCGGCACCGCCACAGCCGCGGGTGGAGCTGCAGTTCTTCCTGTTCGAGAGCGCGTCGACGGTGTCGGTGGGCGCCGTGTCCTACGACGCGCTGCCGGCCTTCGCCAAGTTCACCGTGCGCCTCTTCTCCTGGCCCTGGACCACCCAGCCCCCTCTCGACGACGACGACATCAACAACTCGACCACCACCACCAATCCAACCAACTGCACGATCGAGATGCGGATGAAGATCACGCCGGCGTTCGTGTCGGCCACGCGGCGGCCCGACTACCCCTCGACCGGACTCACCACCTTTGTTCTGGCCGGCAATGCCACGTCATCATCATCAGCGTCAGCGTCAGCGTCGAAAACAACGGAGCTGCGGCTGGTGGAGAGCGTGGAGCTGGACGGGCGCCAGGTGAGCGGTGCGGGCGGGGTCGAGTTCGCGATGGACGAGACCACGTCTGAGCTGGTGCTGCGGTTCGCGCGATTCGAGTCGTCGCTGGTCTACGACCCCGACCTGGGCGTTCTCTTCGGCAGCTCGCCCACCAAGGGCGATGGCGGCGGCGGCGACAATTTGGGGCTGATCGTGGGCGTGGCCGTGGCGGTGCCCGTCGCGGTGGTGGTCGTGGTGGCCGTGATCGTGGCCGGGCTGGTGGTGACGACCGTCAAGAGAAGACGGCAACAACAGGCACGCGTCAACCAACTCGACCAGGTCAACTTCCATGCGCTGTAACCCGCTGTACGCACATTACGCCAAATACCTGGAAAACCATATGTTTAAATAAGATATATTGATTCAGAAAATTTGAACACTGTGTTGGCAAGCAATGCGCAGCAGACAGCGACACCTCAAGAGCTTCGCCGTAGTGACGGCCTACCAGTGCCGTAGTGCGTCGGGATTGAGGTGGTACAGTTCGGCGCCACCGCAGCAATCGCCCAAGACCCGCCGAGTGCTCTTTGGCCTCGAAACCGATGCGAGCACACGTACGCCCCCTCTCTTTCTTCCCTATTTTTTAATTTTTTATTTCGTGCTCACCAATTGCGTGGCAGTGCTGTGGGGTGGCGGCTTGCTCGTGTTGGGCCTGGGCTCCATCTATGGTACGCGACATATAAAATAAAATAAAATAAAATAAAATAAACAATGTAAATGCAAATAAATAATAAATATTTATATAATTATAAATATTGCGCGTAGGGACCTACTACAAGATGCAACGGGATGAGCGACGGGAGCAGAGGCGACTCGAGCGCAAGGAGACGCGGGACAAGATCGTGGGCACCGTGTTGGACAAGTTCGGCAACAAGACGACCAACGCGAGCGCCAAGAGCCAGCACGCTGCTGCTGAGACCGCTGCCACCCAAGAAGAAGAAGAAGAAGACGACAAGCGACGGTCCGCCACGCCGCCGACAGAGAAGAAGGAAGAGTCTGTGGAGGGGCAGCACAAGGCGAAAGAGGGCGTGAGGGAAAAGCTGCGCTCCCTTCGCCACAGCAAGCGCCCGAGCAGCGAAGAGTAAGGCGACGTGATGTGCGGAGCAGGAATGACTGAACAACACCACGCGGAGGAGAGAGAGAGAGAACTTGGGCGTGGGTCTCAGTACCGACACGCTTGCTAGTACTGCAAAACATAGGCTGGGCCTGGACACACGACACCACGACACACGGCACACACGGCACACGGCACATGACACACACGACACACACGACCCAGCGGTATGGTGTTCAGTGGTGGTGCTGAGAGTTGTGGGTAGTGCGGGTGATGGTGTACCCCGCTCTTCGTACTCCGCACGACTGGTCCCCTGGCTATTGTCGGTGCCGGCCATGAGGGCGGCGCCAATCCACGGCAACATGTGCCTGTACCGCACACTGTTACCACCAACCACCGCCTCCATAGCTGCTGCCGCCGCCGGCCCCGCCGCCACGAGGCTCTATCTTACCTGTTCTGTTCTTCTACGATCTGGACTCGAAGCGCCGGGTGCACCGCCTCTCTCAGCGCGACCGCCACACGATCGGCAAACCCTGCAGTGACGCAGTACTGCGCTCAGCTCTCGTGCACGGCCTCTCTCGACCAACCGCCAAGGCCTTGAGACTTAATTTTACCTGCGAACATGGTTGTACCTCCTGGGAGGGTGTGTGTGTGTTGTGTGTGGTGTGTTGTGTTGTGTGTGTGTGTGTTGTGTTGCGTGTGTTGTGTGTGTGTGTGTGTGTGTAAGAAGTGGTCAGCTACAACCCTGTTGGCCCAGCAGCAGGCCACGGCTGGCAACGAACCGACGAGCAGTACATTCTTGCACATCTCTGTGCGCAGGTCGAGGTCGCTCCGTGTGTAGGACAGGTGCAGCGCAGGCCGCAGGCCCTGGGCCTGGGCATTGGCCGCGTCGTCGTGGCTGCGCTGCCCCAGGACCGAGGGGTCGAAGAGCGACTCCACGCCGGTGATGGCGTCCTCCTCTACCACCACCAGGCGCCCATCTGGAAGAGCCACCGTCACCTCGCCCAGAGCCTGCGGTTGTGTGTGTGTGTGTGTGTGTGTGGTGTGTGTGTGTGTGTGGTGTGTGTGTGTGGTGTGTGATTGGCGATTGCAGCCAGGCGCGTTGCAAACACAGTACCTGATGCGGCAGGGAGTGACGCACGACATGCGCCAAGATTTCCATGGGGAGGAGCGACAGATAGCAGTCCCGGCGGCCGTTCAGCGCCATCAACGGAACAGCGATCCTGCGCCTACTTCGATACGCCGCGAGCTCCGTGGCATACTGCGTTGTTGCTCTGCCTGGGCATTAAAAATACTGATAATAACTATAAAAGACAATAAATTAAAAGACAAACTCCAACCTGCGCGCTCCCGTAGCATGTTGGCTTCTGCTTCTGTGAGTTGGAGATGAGCCAGGAGCCGGCTCTGCTGTATGATGCGTGTCAGATGCAGGCCGCCAATGTCGACCTCCTGCACGCGCGCCTCATGCACCGCTGCCCATGTGGCAACACAGCACGCACACGCGAGCAAGAGAGTCAGCAGATCAAGTGATCGGGATTGTGGGGTGATCCGGCGCACTGTAGCCCTCGTAGACGGTGGCGACGTGTGAGGAGTCGTAGCCGCAGTCCACGACAATACCTGTGGGCCTGCCCGTGGCGAGTAGCCCCGTCACCGCGCTGTCCACCAGACGTAGGTGCCCCAGCCCACACCTGTGTAAGATCAAGAGCCAGCCACAGCAACCCCTTTAGCTTGGGAAGCATGCTCCTATATATATTCGTAAATATACAGTTGACGGACATACTGTAGTACATATCACGACTATAAAACAATATTAAACAAGAAAAGAAAAGTATCAAAGAATAGCAGGAGAGCACCTCTTATTTGTTTATTTATTTATTTATGTTATAATTAATAGCTAGGCACCTTTCAAACACGAACTCTGCCGCTCGCGCAGAGCCCGGCCTGGGTGCGCCTGGGCGCTGGACCAGCATGAGCTTCCGTTCGCCCCATTCGCCCTGCTCGCCACCTAAGAGGTGGGTCAGGGTGTCGTGTAGCGTGGCCTCCCACAGGGGCTGGTCCACGATGCAGCCTTGCGATACCGGCCGTTCCCCGCTCTGCGCGCAGGCGCTCGGACGCAGGATCTGTGGAGTGGAGGCCGCCCCACAAGCCAGCCCAGCCCGCACGCTCGTCGAGCTCACCTCCACCACCGCTGTGGCCATAGGTGAAGAGTGGAAAAGAAAAGAAAAGAAAAGAAATAATAATATAAAAATAGAGAGAATGTGAAGTGTGGTTTATGTGCAGCGCAGGCGGCATACGCCTGGTTTCGTGTTGTGTACATGGTGTGAATGTTTGTGCAGTTGTGGGTGGCTTGATCTCACCACTTGAGAGTCTTGGGGAAGTACTTGGCGATGGCCTTCAGGTAGTAACCCTTCAGCTTATCAACGTCGATCACCTCGTCCACTTTGCTGTACAGGTCACACTTTTGGAATGCCTGTGCAAGGGCCACAACACGCAGAATGAGAGTTAGAGATGATGCCTGTGGGTGGAGCTTGAATTCCAATGCACGAAGTGAAGGCTTTACCCGAAGCCAGACAAGCATCTCGCGGTCATGCTCGTTCATGAGGTGGGTGTACGCCTCCTTGGAGTGGTGCGCGTAGAAAGAGTGGAATCTGCACCCGGTAGCAAGGTTTAGCTTTGCCACACGACGTACTACGACACACCATCGCGATGGAGATTGGTACGTACCGGATGATGTGGAGGGCAGGAGCGGGGAGGGTGCAGTTGTTGCCCACACACACCTGGTACATGTACTCGTCGTGGCCCCACGACATCACCACATTGTCCAGACCGCAGTTGGGCTCATACACGCCGTACTGCAAAATGAAAAAAAGACGGCTTCGTGAGCATTCCACACTTCGTCACGACAAGAAGAGAAGAAGAAGATACCTTGGTGGAGTAGACCGGGTGGTTGGCGTCGGCGTTCTCAAGGAAGAACTCGGAGAAGATGATGTCGGAGGCGTAGGCACAGCCCGTGGGGAAAGTGTCTCCCACCACGGCCCACTGTGGCTGGTTGAACATCTTGGGGTGACCCAACACCTTGCCCAGGTCGTGAATGAAGCCCGTCAGGTGGAGCCAGTCGTACTCCTCGCCCGGATACGCCACTCGCAGCGCCTCTGACAGGAGAGACGATGGCCATGGGTGAGTAACGTTACTGGGCCAGGACAGAAGAGCAAAGAGTTACCAGCTGTCTGTAGCAAGTGGGCAATCTGAGCAACGGACGTATCAGGATCAGACTCATCTACGAGCTCGTTCAGCAGCTCGGCTGCCTCCCTGCAACGTTCGTAATGATGAATTAATTGATGAATTTGTTTGTGTAGGAAGATGGAGATGGGAAGCGGAAAAATCGTACCAGATGCCCATCTCAAAGCCGCTATCAAGAGCACCATATTTGAGCTTCTGGGCGAGGGCAAAAGAGTAGGTCTGCTTGAGGTGATTTTCGTGGTAGAAACGTACTACGTGCTGGGGCGCATTCGCGTAGGATCGGTAATCGTGATCCTTTTGAGCCGGCAGGACCTCGGCCACCTCCTCCAGACGCGGCTCCACCTGGAGGGACGACGTAGGGACCTCAACTTGTGTCGAAGATGCCATTCCTTCAAATTGAATTGCAAGAGGGTAGTGCTACTTGCAAATCTGCACAAGAGGCGTACAATTAGAATAATCGAAAGAGATCGCAAAAGGGAGCACAGAGGTGCGTACCTGGACCGGGGAAAGAAGAATGAAGACGAGGTGCTTCTTCTTTGACCTGGTGCTGTTAGCAACCACTCCAACTCCACTTCTGCGGTAAAACCCGGACTTGAGGGACAAACGCATCTCTAACTGCTCAACCAACCACAGGGCAGCACTTTGTAGCTGAGTGGTGAGAAAGAGTGTGAAACACACGTGGCCACTACGGAACTGTACTTGTTGATCAAAGTGGTGACTGCCTTCAGTACTAGTGGGTGGGCAAGTGATGGGAGACGAGGCGCAGGATGTCGGTGAGGGTCACCACGCTGATGGGCTTCTGAGCGGCGTCGATGACAAACACCCGGTGCAGGCCCGTGCGCGCGACCACCGCCACCACCTGGCCCAGCGTGGCCTCCCGCACGCACGAGAGGGCGCCCTCCTTGTGCCGCACCTTGAGGAAGTCCGCCACCGGCAGCCCCAGCGTGATGAAGTTTTCCTGCGTCACGCCCTGCAATGACCAGCTCAGTCGATTGTTGTGTTGTGAAGGAAAATTATGAATGAAGCGTGCTTGATTGACGCACACACCTTGAGGTCGGAGGCAGAGATGGTGCCGACCAGGTGGCCGCCTTCGTCCACGACGGCGACTCCCGAGATTTTGTACCTGGGCGGAGTCAGAGAGCGAAGAGAGCAAGTGCAGAAGAAGAAGAGGAGGAGGAGGAGGAAGAGGTAAAGCTATACCCCATGATGGCGGTGAAGCAATCCTTGAGGGTGGCCCGATGCGATACAGACACCACCTTGCCAGGCGCCAAGTCGAGCTCGAACAACGACTTGCTCATCTATGATAGAAAAGAAGAAGAAGAGAGTGCATCAATGATGCTGTGACTGGTCTGAGAACAATCAACGCGAACGAGGGAGAAACCAACCTGTCTCACCAACTCGTGGCGGCCCTTGTGCTCGTTGAGGAAGTTGACGATGTCCCACTGGCTCACAATGCCCACCAAGTTGTTTTGCGAATCGACCAGCGGCAGCCTAGAGCCATCAATTTATGTGAGACATTATCAGACCGGTGGTGGTGGCTGGTGGTGGCTGGAGGTGTGTGGTACCTGTGGATGCCTTGTGAATAGAACATGTGAAGTACCTCACCCAGACGGCTGTGCGTGGGCACAGGCAGGAACGGATCCGTGTCCGAAGCATCTGTCGCACCGCCGAGACGCGGCAATGCATAAACATCAACGAGATGACAGAGTGACACAATTATTGGAGAGCGCTCAAGGTCGTACTCATGATGTCAAACACCGGACGTTGGAATTGGCGCTTCATCGCCTCGCCCATGTCGGCCTCGCCCGATTGCGAGGAGGCGCCCACCACAAACTCCACCATGTCCATCACGTCCACCTTTCATCATTACCGATGAGGGTGAGCCGAGAACGACACGCACACGCACACGCACACGCACACAGGCCGTGGGAAGGGTACCGAGCCCAGGAACTGGTCTGTGAGACGGTTGTAGACGGGCGCCGACTGGATGCCAAACTGGGCCAGCCTCTGCGACCCACACGCACAAATTCCACGGTCATGGCTGGCCCGTGCAAACCACCAGACGTGTGGGTTGGGTAGTGTTGGGTTGAGGTGGGAGAAGAAGGCAGGAAGGTACGAGGAGGGCATCGTTGACGGAGTCGGTGTGGTCGAGCACCACCAGGTTCTGCGCGGGCGATATGATATCGATCAGCGGGGTGGCCCCGAGCGGTCTCTGTTCGCTAGCTGCTGCCATCTGCGTGGCACAAAAAAAGGTGTTGGCATCTAAGGAAATGGAGTGTGTAGAGGGACACGTACAGTCGTATGTTGCAGCGTGTTGTGTTGTGAATGGCCGACTGTGTGCACGGCCAGGCCCTCCCTTGTGGGCGGACTGAAACGTCGGCGAAAATTGCGACAACACTCACATAGCCGAAACAGAAATTTCGGTGAAAGAAAATGAAGCAATAAATAAATACAATAGAATGCCACCTTTAGTGGAATTCGTCGTGGGTTGGTTTGTGCCCGCTCGCGTGTTTACCGCCCGCCGGGCTCGTGTGGGGGCGCAAAGGTCGTCATCGAGGTGTGGTGCTGCAGGCGCGTACACGTCGGTGCACTCCCAAAATTCCACGCAACAGTTGCCAGGGCCTGGTGGTCCGCTGCCCGGATACCTTTAAAAAAGTGGCGGTTTTATCTCGCAAAACCCAAACCCCATTGTCCCGCACGTGGGTCGTCTCTAGACTGCGCCTGCCTTGTTGTTGTGCGCCACCGCCTTGTCCTGTCCGAGAACTTCGAGCTCATTTGGTGAGTTCTGATGCACGACATAGCCCTGGTGGCCCGGACTCCTGCGTCCGATTGCCACCGCCCCGGCGAAGCAGCAGCAGTAGACAAGGAGGCAGCCCGCCGCCATCAGGCAGCAGCATCCGATAATGGAGGCCACGACAATGCCAATGACAGCGCCCACACCCAGCGCAATCGTGTCCATTTCCTACAATAACATTAGGGTTAGCATGAACAGACAAAGAAGCAGGGGTATCAATGGAGGAGGGGCGCATACACTGGGGCAGAGGCTGCGCGTCCAGTACTTGTGTGTGCACAAGGCAGGCTTGGTGCAGCCGCTGTCACAGGCTGTACAGAAGCCCTCAGTGTCGCTGTTACCGCACCAAGCGCAAAAGCCCTGGAAACGAGTTCATATAATCAGTGCATTACAAATGTTTAACTGAATCAAGAGACAGCTGCACAAAAAACACACATACCGTGCAGCCGCTGCAGGTGGTGGAACTGGAACAGTAGTCGGAGGCATCAACGGGTTCAGATGTCTCATACTTGTAGGCGGCTGAGGCTACGGGGGCAGCATTGTTGGGCACCGCGGTCTCGTCAGCCAAAGCAATGACGGCCAGAAGGGCCACAAACAGGAGACCCAAGAGACCCGTGAAGTTCGTAGAGCTTTGTTGGCTGGCCATTGTGAGCGCTAGTCTGCGTTGTTGGCTTGTTGGGTGTCAAGTCGGTGGTTTGGGTTTGTTTTGCTGTCGGTGGTTTGGGTTCAAGTCGGTGTTTTCTCTTGTTTACTAGGAATGGGAAAGTGTGTTAATTTCACTAATTGCCACAGCTGCTGTTGCCTGGCCAGAAAAGTACAACATGTTCACGCGTGATGCGCGGTGAGATGGCGGCTGGGCTAAAGCCTTTGGCAGAAACCACATTGATCGACTTCTGGACCTGCTTCCTCTTTTCTGTCCATACCACGCAGACCATCGGCGGGCCGCCTTCCTTCCCTAAATCCACCCTGCCTTTGGCCAGCCTCATGGTGAGTCGCTGCTGAATGCGTGTTTAGTTGGGCTTGGCGATGTTGGCGTCTGCACACATGAGCGGGTGCGTGTGGAAGAGTGGGTGAGTGGTCTGAGCGATTCGAATAACCACACGGCATGATGGAAAGAGAATAGGTACCAAGCAGCATGAGCTTTAGTTCTTCGCAGAGGGCCTGCATCCTCAGTTCTGTCTGCACGCTCTCCACCTCCTCGTCCACGGGCAGCGGCGTGAAGAAGGCCATGAACTAAATGAAGCACACCACCAGAACACACCACGTCACCATCACATTTAGCACACAGTGCAGAATAGACACACACAGCCGAGCCCACAAGCGCACGCATACGTTTTCGCCGATCTGATAGCAGGAGAAGATCTGCTTGGTGCCCTTGACCCGCAACAGCGAGCACTCGTGTTCGCCCTGTGTCTCGGCTGCGTTGTCCCCAAGCAAAGCCGCCGAGCAGGAGCAGTCAGCCACATGAAAAAGAAAAAAAGAGAGCAGCGAGAGGGTCCACAGCGGGCGCACCAAACTTGACGGCGGCGCGCTTGAGCTTCTGCAGCGTGAGGCATATGTCCTCCTGGATCCCGGCGCTGGCCTCCTCCCCGAACGCGTACCTGCATAGGGTGAAGCATAATTATTTATTTATTTTGCATTTTTATAATTTAAATATTTGATTAATTGTTGTAATTAATAATAAGAATAAATAAACTAATGAGTAGTGAGCAGGCGAAAGGAACGAGGAATTAAAAGGGGGGAAGGGTACAGCAGTTCGCCTTGGGCGTTGACGATTGCGCAGGAGGGTGTGGCGGGAAAGAGCGTCTGGAGTTCCTTGAACACGTTCTCGAGCTTCCGGTACACCACCGGCGACAGCCCGGTCTCCTTCTTGCACGTTCGAGCGCTCATATTCCTTCTCGATTAGCAAAATAACAGAATAAAGTGTCAATTTCTCTGTTATTTTCCATTTAATTGTTAATTATTTGTATTTAATTTAACATTCAGGAATGGAGCAAGAGGGCCAGGGGTGGTCCATGCTGGTCTTGTTGGACTCGAACGTGCTCGCCTGTGTACTTTGCTACCTTTCTGTCCAGGACTTGGCAAACGTACGCCTCGACTGGCCACCTCTACCCCCCCCCGCGGTTTTTACACTTCTTTTAAAAATGGGGGGGGCACACCAGGTGGCTCGTACGTGCCGGGCGCTACATCGCGAGTCGGAGTGCGACGTGGTCTGGTGCACCCGCTCGCTCTTGCGCTTCGGGTCGGACTTCTGGGGCGAGACCGCCGGCCACCACCCCTACCACGTACGTAAAATGTTGCGTGCGTGTGCGTGTGCGTGTGCGTGTGCGTGTGCGTTGTGTTGTGTTGTGCTCGCTTGGAGCTGACCTGGCTGTGATCGCGGGGAGGCAGGTGGTGCCCAAGGAGTCGAACGAGTGGCAGCGCCGCCCGGCTGCCGATGTGTTCGGCCTCTACGCGGCCCGCCACCAGCGCCCGGCCTCTACTGCCGACGAAAGCGTCAGCGATACCACCGACCACGGCGATGGCGACGATGCTGAGAGGCGAGTGGATCGAGCGCTCCACGAGTTCGTCCGACGCCACGCCACGCGCGAGGGCTACGGCGGCTGGAAGAGCGTCTACAGAAGGTTCGCAACACGCAACACGCAACACGCAACATGCAACACACAACACGCAACACGCAACAATGACTGTTGTCTTGGGCCAGGTTGCATGACATGGTTGACCATCTGCGACGGCCGGCATACGCGGGCGTGATCGTGGCCGGGCTGCCCAGCTTCGCCACGCTCTCGAACATCGCCGAACACATCGCGCCCACCGTCATCGCGAGCACGTGTTCCCCCCCCCGACCCCGCTTCCTATGCGAGGAGTAGGCCTAGCTCACACATGCGATTGGGCGATGTTGGGTGTCGCAGAGTGGGGGAGCAACGATGTGACGATGCAAGTCGAGGCGGATCTGCTGAGCCCTGGAGGTACTACACGCGACGCGTGTTGCTACACGCCGTGTGTGCGGCACAAGACGCAAGATACTCATAGAGTACGCGATCAACACCACACACACACACACACAAAGGCGAGTGCCGGGTGGCAAGGCTCGCGTTCAAGGGCACGTGTTGGTGGTCTCCCGAACCCAATGACCGAACCTACAACATCTGCGTCATTCGCAAACCCAGGTGCCGCTCCGCTTCACTCCGATAGTTCACCAGCAATTATAGGTTGACGTTGTGTGTCACATGTCGTGCGTCGTGCGTCGTGTGCCGTGTGCGTGCGGGAAATGCAGGAACTGGTATGGAGGAACTTTTGGCCCTCAATTCAGGGGCCTAAATTGCCGGCCGGGAGGAACCAGGGGCCTGCCGAAGCCCATCAAACTGGTCCTTGTCGTCGATGGCGAGAAGATGGAGCAGTCGCCCAGTGGCGACTACCAGGAACACGTACGCCCACGCACGCACACACGCACGCACACACGCACACACGCACGCATGCACTGGTTCAACAAGACAACAGTTTGAGCTCATTGCAGCGGTTGGCACTCAGGTGTACCGCGAGCTGCACGGTGTGTTGGGCGAAGGCAGGGGCCAGTTTGAACAGGGCATGCACGTCTTCTTGTGCATCATCAACGCCAACAACGAAACCAACATTCTTGACCGCCTCAAGGTACGAGTGTGTCGTTATCTTTCGTTGTGTTTCTTTGTGTGCCGTTGTGTTTCGTTGTGTGGCGTTGTGTGGCGTTGTGTTGCGTGTGGCGTGTTGTATGTGAACTGATGACCCAGGTTTTTCCCACGGCAGCTGCGCAAGCACGTCACACCCAAGGACCTGTGCCCCTTCTACATCGGGCCAGTGGTGTTCCTCGTGGCCTCATTCGTCATGCGCTCTGGCGAGACTCCAGGTTCGTTCTGTCGCACAGTAGTGAGTCATTTGACCGATTCCTACCTACGTTTGTATGTGTGCGGTGCTCAAATCGTGGTGTGTGCGCCACTTATGACGCAGAGGAGGTCAGAGAGCGGGAGACGAAGCTGGCCTCCGGCGTCTACTGGCTCAACCACCAGCCCACGCCACGGCCGCACTTCGATTCCGGTGGCCTGCTTCTGTGTTCCCTCCAGACATGTCGTGACCGCCTCATCTCGCTCAAGATCTAAATCTATATTTAAAAATCTATATTTTCCCAACCGCCCTATTGGTTCGTTCTCTAAAAGTATCTTTCGGCAGAAGATGTGTGGTCTACGAGAAGACATATACCATTGGGCAGCAAGGTTCCTGTCATTCAGAGAATCGTGTTAGCCACACTTGGACCGAAGTTATAAATTGGTGCCAACAGACCACAGGCAAACATAACCAGTTGTATTTATTACCCACAAACATCAACAGCAACACGCCATGCAGGACCCCCACGCCGACTCCTTCAGCGCCAGTGACGGTACTCCATTCTTGGGGTTGTTCTGGTGGCTTTGTACTCACTTCGCGACACAACAACAACACACAGAATGGGCTGAGGGCTCCACGTACAGGGAGGTGCGAGAGAACGGCCAAATCTTCTGTGCCATCTGTTTGGACCCACACGGCAAACAGCTCGGACAGCGTTTTTCTTCGCCCCAAGCCTACGGGGGCCACCACGCGAGATTCCGCGAGCACCAGGAGAGAGCGAGGACCACCGTGTACACTTCGTACACATTCATCGTGGACGGCAAAGCATGGTGCGTGGCGTGTGATGCGCACATGGCTGCTTCCCATGTTAAGCAGCACCAGGCGACTATGGAACACAAGCAACGAGCGGAAGAACGTAAGGAGAAGGAGAAGGAGGAGAAGAAGAAGAAGGAAGACCGCAGACGTACCACTAAGCGGAAGAGGACCACCCGCCGTGCGGTACATTCATCTTCGTCTTCATCTTAATTGGTTACAGTTATTTACACAGTGCTGTTGTGGGCAGCCGCGCAAGTGTGCCTCTGGCGAAGCTCCCGAGACGCTCCTCGCAGCTCAGTGCGCCGCCGAGGGGCACGACTTGGGTTCAGCGCAGGTCAACTTCAACTTTCACAACGAGAGCAGCATGGCCTCCCTTCAGCTGGACACGACTCTGGCAGCTGGTACCATCATTGTTGTCACACCACCACTCCCTGTTTCAGCCCTTGCTCACCAACCCCACCAAACAGAGGAACTCAACCGCATGGAGAATGATCAGCAGGAACCGCACGAACTGCTGGAACAGGCCGAAGGTGGGTGGTTGTCCATTGACGAGGCCTACAGCCTGCTGGAGCTCACCCCTGGTGTCAGTCTCGCGCCCCCTGAGGTATGCTTCACCGAGAAACTCTTCCCTTGTGTGTGTGTCGTGTGTCGTGTGTCGTGTGTCGTGTGTCGTGTGTCGTGTGTGGTCGTGTGTGGTCGTGTGTGTGTGTCGTGTGGAGTGAGACGCGGAGCTCACCACGCATACAGGAGGAGTTACCACTGGCCACCCAAGCGCTGTCGGGAGAAGAAGAAGAAGAAGCTGAGGAAGTAGAAGAGCGGGAGAATGCAGAGGAACACGACGTCGAGGCTCTCCATCAGCTTCTGGCCCTCACTTCCATCCAGGCGCCGAACAAGAAAGAACGCAACATGGCCGTACTGGTCCGCCTCAGCTTCTGGGTGGCCTGTTGGCTCTCCGGAGACACCGGGGCCCACGTGCCGGCCAACCTCCTGCTCGCCGACCTGGGCGTGCCCGAGCGACTGCACTTCCCCGCCGAGTTCGAGCCGGACCTGTCGGCGCGCTACGACGCCTACCACGCCGTAAAGGTGTGGCTGATCCTGAAGAGGAGCGACTTCAGCGCGACCGTCTACAGCCTTCACATCCACCTGCTCGCCGCCACCAACTTGACAGACCCCAACGGCCGCAAGGCCCACGACCTGCTCGACGATTTCGTGAGGGAAGCCCCGGAGCGTGTCTCCTTCCGCCCCAACTTCTTCGAGATGTGGCGCGTGGCCATGCCCCGCCTGGGTCGGGCTGGGCTGCAGGCCGCAGTCCTGCCCGCTCTCAAGGTGCTTTTGGAGACCGAGGCCGAGTGGTCCGACCAGCAGAACTCATGAGCTGCCTGCCAATGTCACTAAAACACAATATACTCTCCTTGCATGTCTACATATGAGTATGTTGGGAGAATAAATTAGGGGCCGAAGGTGCCCGAGAGCTGGTTGAGGGAGAGCAGCACCTGGTCCATGTCGGGCCTCTTCCGGGGGTTCCGGTGCCAGCAGCGCTTCATGAGCTTGGCGAAGGCCGGCGGGCAGTCCGACGGCACCACCGGCCGCTTGCCGTCGAGCACCGCCTGGATCAGGTGGCCCAGGTTGTAGTGGTGATGGTCGTTACCGTTGTCCTGGTAGGGCACCTTGCGGGTCAAGACCTCCCACATCACCACCCCGAACGAGTACACGTCGGCCTTCTCCAGTAGCGCGGCCTCGTGCTGCTCCTCACCACCACCACCGCTACCACCACTCGCCGGCGCCGGCGGCGGTAGCAGCACCTCGGGCGCGGTCCAGGCCGGCGTGCCGCAGCGGGTCATGGTCGCGTTCTCCTGCTTGGCCGTGGCGAACCCGAAGTCGGCCACCTTGACTCGCAGCCCTCCGCCCCCGGCGCCGCCCAGCTCGTCGTCGACCAGTAGGTTGGAGGACTTGATGTCGCGGTGGATGACGCCGTGCTCGTGGAGGTAGGCCAGGCCCAGCGCGGCGTCTCGCAGCACCGAGAGCCGGGCGGCCCAGCTGAGCTTGCGCGAGGAGTCGGCCAGGAGCGCGCTGAGGCTGCCGCCGGGCACGAGCTCCATCACCAGGCTGAGCTGGGCGTCGTCGCCGATCGAGAGGCCCACGAGCTTGACCAGGTTGGGGTGCTCGAGGTTGAACAGCAGCGCCGCCTCGCGCCGCATGCGTCGCATCGAGTCGTCATCGAGCTTCGAGTTGAACAGGCGCTTGACCGCCACAGGCATGCCGAGGTAGGACCCGGCGGTCACTTGGCCGTAGCTGCCCTGGCCCAGCCACTCGCCCTCCGTCAGCCGCCGGCCGTCGATGATCCACGGGCACTGGTTCGACGAGCACAGTCCGCCGCGCCGCTCGGGTTCGGCCTCGGTGTCGTGGGCCGCGGCCAACGCATCGCCATCGCCGTCGGGGCCGAGCAGCAGCGAGTACTCGCGCCCCGGCAGGTTGTGGAGGTGCACGGCACTGTTGTCGTCGGGGCCGCCGCAGGCTTCGCGAAAGGCGGCAGAGCAGAGCACGGCGCCGGGCCAGCCGAGCAGGTTGATGCGACACGCCTCCTGGTAGTGGTGAGGCTCGTAGGTGGCGCCGGCGTAGTCGCCAGGCAGCCGCCCGTTGGTCTTGGGCTGATGGTGCAGCGCCACACGCGATCGCTGGTGGAGTTGGCCGTCGTCGCCGCCGGCGTCATTTACGGCGGCCACCAGGGCCAGGGCAAAGGCGGCTGCCGCCTGGGTGGTGGCGAAGGAGAGCATGTAGGTGCCGCCGCTGTGGAGGCTGGGCCGCGAGAAGACGAAGCCGCTGTGGGCCGTGGCCTGGGCTCGCACCAGGCTCCCGTAGGACTCGGCCGTGCGCTCGGCCGCGAATGGATCGCGCTGCCAGAGCTCGTCCATGCGGGCCAGGTCGCACACGGCGTAGGACACGTCGCGCCGCGGCACGTTGCGAAGGTGGAGATCGAACGGCCGGCCCTCCGACGAGGTGGTGGTGCCCGTGCTCGCGTAGTTGCTCCGCGGCAGAGTCCCGCTCGCGGTCGGGCTGCTGCTGGCGCTGCTGGTGCTCTGGCGGGCGCTGCTGGTGCCCGTGCCACCACCCCCCGCTGCGCTCTTGACCCCCTCGAGCCGGGTGATGATCTCGTCGAACGTCGGGCGCTCGGTCGGATCGCGCTTCCAGCAGCTGCGCATCAGCTCCACGTACCGCGCCTCGCCAGCGCTCCGCTGATGCGCTACTTCGTCAAAGGTGTGGCTGCTGAGCGCTGGCCGTAGGTCTTCTCTGATCACTCGAATCGCGATCTGGGCCGGCAGCATGCCCTCGTAGAGCACGTCGCGGGTAAGCAGCTCCCAGAGCACGATGCCAAAGCTGTAGACATCGGCCAACACGAAGTCGATCTGGTCTCGGCCCTCGTCGCCCAGCACCTCGGGGGCCATCCAGGGCACGCTGCCCACGACGGCGTGGTCGCGGTCGCGCGAGTCCTGGCGTAGGAGTGCGTCCTTGAACTTGGTGAGGCCGAAGTCGGCCACCTTGAGGTTCCACTTGTGGTCGAGCAGCAGATTGAGCGACTTGAGGTCCCGGTGCACGATCTCGGACGAGTGGAGGAAGTGCATGCCCTTGGCGGCCTGGTGCACCAGCTTGACCTTGAGCAGTAGAGGGAGCTCCGGCACCAGCTCGTTGTGGATCAACTGATGGTAGAGAGAGCCACAAACAAGTTGTCAAGCCTTGGAACAAACTTGCACTAAAAACAAACAGATGAAAAAAGGATAAAAAAGCACAGCCAAGAAGTACCAAAAAAGGTAATATGAATGATAAATATCTCCCGAGAAAAGGAAAAAAATGGCCACCACACGAATTGGGGCTGAGCTGGATGGTCGTACGTCGTAGAGACTGCCGAGTTCCATGTACTCCATGACGATGCAGAGCCGGGGCGGCTTGACCGAGGCGGCCATGAAGAGGATCACGTTGGGGTGTCTCAGCCGCGACATGATGTCGACCTCGTCGACGAAGTTCTGCCGAGCCTCCCTCGTGACGTTGCCCTGCGGCATGAGCTTGACCGCCACCTCGGTGCCCTTCCACACCGCTTTGTGCACCTCGCCGAACCCGCCCTGGCCCAGCACGCCGTCCAGCTCCAGCTCGTCAAAGTCGATCGTGTACTCTTGCAGCCCTCGGGCCGCCGCCGCCCGGCGCGAGGCCACCATTGCGACCAGCCCGACCAGCACCAGGCAGCAGACCAGCAGAGCCGCCACGGGAAGCGCGACGCCCAGAGCGATGCCCAGTACTTCTTCCCTGCTGCGGCCGTCGCTCGACTCGTCCGCGCTGTCGAAGGTGAACGCGCACTGGTCGTAGTCAAAGGTGTGTTGAGTGGACCAGGTGCCGTTGGCGTTGCCATCGGGCGTGACGACGTGGACCGAGCGGGAGCCGGTATTGCAGCAGGGGATGCCCGTCGCGTTGCAACGGTCGTAGTAGACGCCCAGCGCAAGGTCGTCGAGCTCGATCACGCCCGAGGCGTAGAGTGCGGCGAGCAGCGAGTCGCCTGTCACCTGCCCGTTGATGGTGGAGATGAGGGCCGCCAGCAGCCGGCCGCTCACGTAGCCGCTCAGCGCGGCGTAGCCGGGCCGGGCGTTGGGGTCCAGCGCGGCCAGGGCCGCCCGGAACGAGGCCGCCAGCTGCGTGCCGCTCGCGTTTGCGGCGGGCGAAGCTGGGTTGGGGTTCGGGTTGGGCAGCGCCTGCGTGAAGTGGAGCATCGCCAGCTGCGCCTGGCTCCTGCGTGCGTGGAATGTCGAGGACGAAGACGATGACGTGCCGTTGATGCGCTCAACCAGAAGGTCGGGGTCGAGGCTGGACAAGACGCATACGGGCGTCGGTCCACCACTTGATGAGAGCGAATCGAGGAAGGGCGCCACCAGCTCTCCGCTCGGGTTGTAGACCAGCCACAGCTCCACTCCTGAGGTCGGCACAGCATCGCCCTGTTCGACCGATGCGGCCAGGCTCAGGTCGCGCAGGGCGAGGGCCTTGACCAGGCCCTTGAGGGTGAGGCGGCCGTCGGGCGTCGACTCGTAGTAGAGTCCGACCCGCGAGAAGCCCTGCCTGCCGACGAAGTAGTCCAGTGCGCCGGCCAGCTCCTCGTAGGCCGAGCCGGCGATGCGCACCAGCCGCCGGTTGAAGTGGGAGTTGAGCGAGGGCGAGCCCGTGGAGACGCCGATGACAGGCGCCGCCGCGTTGCTGGAGTGGTTGAGCGCCGCCGCGATGGCCTCGATGCCCCGCAGGCCCGTCAGAGCAAGCACGTTGTCCAGCTCGACCAGCTGCTCGTAGTTGGACCCGGCGTTCTCTTCGGGGCGTGACTGGTCGTCGTAGCCGATCAGCACCATGTTGCGCCCGTTGAAGGCCGCCGCGGCGTTGGTCGCCCCGAACGAGCTCGCCAGGCCGTTGCGCACCGCCGCGCCCGATCGCGCATCGTCGCCGGTGAGTGCCACGCTCTCGCCGAACTTGAAGGGCAGCCGCACGTCGCCCGGCTGCGGGAAGCAGCTCTGCCACTCGAGCACCGAGTCGGGCACGTACTCCAGCGTGCCGTTGGGGAACTGGACCAGATAGATGCGGCGCGAGCCGGCGTTGCAGCAGGCCTGGCACCCGGTGCGGGCGCAGTCGTCGTAGAACGGCCCCATCGCGACGCCGCCGACGTGGCGTATCGGGGTGGAGTAGACGGCGTCGATGAAGGCGGCCCGGTTGAGGGGCTCGCGCATGCCCTCGAGCACCGAGACGATCCAGCGCGCGTTGATGTAGCCCTCGAGCGCGCCGGGCTGGACCACCTTCCGCCATTCGGGCGCGTGGGCGTCGCGGTCGGCCCAGAAGTCGCTCACGATGGGCAGGCCTGTGTCGGAGAGCAGGGGGACAGGGAAGACCAGGTACACGTTCTCTCGCTCGCGCTCGGTGGTGAGGTCGTCGGTGATGTTGTTCGACACCGACCCGTCGAGAATGTAGATGACGTCATCTCTGGTCATGGCCGCCTTGGCCGCCTTGATGAAGGCGCTGGTCTGGCCCGACGACACCACCATGATCACGGCCTGAGGCGACCCGGCGCTGATGTTGGCCACCGCCGCGCCGATGGTCTGCGGGTCGGCCGAGAAGCTGGGCACGCCGTAGTGGCTCGCCAGCCGGTAGCCCAGCAGGGCCAGCTTGGCCTCGACGCCCGCCCGGATGTCGACGCCCGAGATGAGGCTCGGGTGCGGGTAGAGCAGGGCAAAGCGCGACAGCAGCCGGTCGTTGGCCAGAAACTTGGCGATGGCGTAGGTCAGGCTCTGGAAGCTGGTCGGCAGCGTGTTGAAGACCCACCGCTTGAACGGGCTCTGCAGCAGCCCCAGGCCCGACCACGGCCCGACGAAGGGCACCGTGTCGATGGCCTGGCCGGTCATCGACAAGAACGCCGTGGCGGCGCCCTCGCCGTCGGAAGTCACCAGCAGGCCCAGCAGCTCGTCGTCGCTCCGGGCCAGCAGCGCGTTGGTGTTGAGGGCCGTAGCGGTGTTGTTGCGATTGTCGTCGAGGAAGAGGGTGACGAGGTTTCGCGAGGCGAGAACGCCCATCCGGTCGCTCCGGGCGTTGGTCGCGTTGAAGGCCAGCTCCGAGCCGAGCCGCATCGATTCGCACATGGCCAGGTAGCGGTCGCCGCCGGCGGCCTGCTGCGTAAAGGTTGACGAGCTGCCCCAGACGATGTCGGCGGCCGAGGCCGCCGGCTGGTAGAGGCACAGGGCAAGCAGAACAAGCACGACCGCGGCACGGCCGACCACCACCATCGTCGCCATTGCCGCTCGCTGGTCCATGTCGGGTCTGGCTTATTGCGGTAATGGAGGGAGGTGGTCTTCGTTACGGGAGGTGGTCTTATCATTAAAGAAATAGGCAGACTCCGGTTGGTTGATCGTATCTGGACGTAAGTCGATTGGCCAGGCACAGTTCACGGGGGTGTCGCAGAGTGCACGACCTATTTACGGCACAATCTGGTCTGTTGGTTGATTGGCTGCGCGATTTGGTCGACTGCACGTGAGCAGTTTGCACACTGGTTTTAGCACCCTTCCCCATTATCTGATTGGGCGTGAACTAAAGTGTATTCTTATTAGATTACTCGTACGCCTTTTTGATTGGTTCACGCCTCAAGTGAACGCAAGTGCGCTTGCGTGCGATCACCGTCCCACTGATGTAGTCGTAAATAGCTTTGGCGCTGGTCCAAAATAAGTCACTCTTTGGTTCGCCAACACCCTCGTGGTGCCCAGTGTCAGCGCCAAGGTTGTCCTGGTCATCCACTCGCGTATCCAACCAATCTGCATAAAAAGGCCCCCTATCACTCCACCCCATACACCATCACTTCACACTTTTGCCAACACAACTCCTTGTACTCTAAAACTATCAACTTTTCACACTTGTTCAACTCTACGAGTGACATGCGCAACTCCGCCGCTGTCGTTCTCCTGCTTCTGGCGGCCCTCGTGGCCGTCGGTTCGTGCGTCCAGTGCTACGAGGACAACCTCTACAAGCCCACCGCGGTCATGACCTGGGGCTTCGACGGCTTCCAGAGCTCGTCGCCCGGCGCGCGCAACATCCAGGGCTGGCAGATCATCAGCGCCCTCACGGGCCAGACCATCGACCAGACCCGCCGCGAGGCCCTCGACTTCTACGCCGAGCGCTACGGCTTCAACAACACGGTGCTCTCCTACGACCCGACCACCGGCGTGTCGGTGCTGCCCCAGGGCACCATGCTGCCCGTGTACCTCACGGCCCAGGGCGACTACGGCCTGTGGGCCGACAGCGACAAGCACGTGGTGGACCAGCGCTGCCCGCACATCGCCGTGATCGAGTGGGTGCTGTTCACCAGCGCCTCCACGGCCGGCACGGTCTACAACGGGACCTACGGCGCCTGGTACAAGATTCGCAACCCGGCCGGTTCGCGCGTGTCCGTGGGCGACGTGGTGTCGAGCGGGCGCTACCTGATCAACGGAACCAAGAAGCACGACGAGCCGCTCGTGCTGTCGTTCAAGACCCTCTATCCCGTGCGGCTCGATGGGGAGCACACCTACCGCGTGGACAACGTGATCAGCCACCCCGACCTGGGCCTGGGCTCGGGCCAGTCCAACTACCGGTACTACCTGGCCGCGGGTACCACCAGCACCTGGTTCGTTCAGATCCGCAACACCATCAAGTGGCCCTACATCGAGGCCCCGCCCATCGACCCCACCTCGCCCTAACCACTGTTTATTGACCTGCAAAAAACTCTGTTAAATATATTTCACCATAATGACCAATCACACAGAAGACGCCGAAGGCGAAGCCGACGGGCTGTGTGATGCCGACGGCGATGCCGACGGGCTGGTTGACGCCAAAGGCGATACCGACGGGCTGTGTGACGGCGACGTCGAAGGGCTCGGGGAGGGCGTGACTCCGACTGAGATCGAAGGCGTGCGGAGGCACCACCTTGCCGGTGGCTCTGATTCGGCCGGAGCAGCCCTGGGCCGGGTCTGTGGCCTGGTCGACCTCAAGCGCGGCCGACGAGCCGGCGGCGGCGAGGACCTGGTCTCGGGTTGGCGGGAGCCTCTGCACGCTGCGGGGCGCGCGACCACGTCTTCCACCGAAACCCACCCACTGTCGACAGCGTCCCGCCTGGGCGAGGTAGTGCCCCGGCCGTGTGTCGGTGGGCTCGGTCGACGACGGGGCTCGTGCGGCGCCCCCGCATCAGGATTGTCGTAGAGGGCGACAAAAGAAAGACATGACAACCGCGACTCGACCTTCTGGGCGAGGTAGTGCCCCGGCCGTGTGTCGGTGGGCTCGGTCGACTCTATTTAGTATTTGTCTCTTCTTCTTGGGCTGGTATCATGCCACGTCACCCTATTCGAAGCTGACGTGGCTTTTATCACCATTTTTTTATTTTCATTTCTGTAGACGGCAAGATCGCAGGCATCACGTGATGGAAAATTTGGAACAGGACGATCAAGAGCAACTTTTCATTCCCCCTCTCAACTTTGCCATGGTAGCACCGGGCGTGTACGCCCCCCCCCGCGATTCAATCATTTATTTGCCATTTACTTTTTTCATTTTCACATGAATAAAATGGAATGTGGCAGGTATCGTTCGGGGTATCCCAACAAGAAGAACTTTCCGTTCCTTAAGAAGATGGGCCTCAAGTCCATCCTCTACCTCTGCCCCGAGGCCTACCCCGACGAGAACTTGGGTACACTCACCACCACCAAACGCTCGTGCTGTGCGTTGTGTCCTGCGTGTGTCCTGCGTGTGCGTGTGCGGTGGTGCGTGGCACATGAGCGTGTGAAGCCGTGCGCTCACGTTTTTGGCGTCAATCGCTATTTGGCAACGCACACAGAGTTCTTGGAGAAGTACGGCATCAAGCTCCTTCACTTCGGTATCAACGGAAACAAGGTCCCGTCCTCCCTGCACACACACACACACACACACACAACACACACACACACACACACACACACAACCCTTACCACCTTCTGTGGTTGTGTGCCCTCTCTTTCCTCCCCAACGCTAGGAACCGTTCGTGGAGATCCCGCCCCACGTGATCCGAAACGCACTGGTGGACTTGCTCGGTACACGCATGACACGCACGCGCGACACACACGACACGACACGCGCAACACGCACCACCGCACACACGCAACACACACTTACCACATGCCTGTGCAGATGTGCGCAACCATCCGGTAATGATTCACTGCAACAAGGGAAAGGTGTGTGCTCCTTCACCCGTCATATAGCCCTAGCGCCCGGTGCGCACGCACCACACGCACACGTCGTTGACCTGGTCGTATCGTGTGCAGCACAGGACGGGCTGTCTGGTGGGCTGCCTTCGCAAGTCACAGCAATGGTCGCTCGCCTACATATTCGACGAATACCGGTACCCTCCTACATAACTCGACACGCACTCGCACTTGCACCACCGCACACGCACACGCACATGCACACGCACACGCACACGACTGTAGTTTTATTAATTACTGCATTGTGGTTGGCAGACGCTTTGCTGGGAGCAAGGTGCGAATTCTGGATCAGCAGTTCATCGAGCTGTTCAACCTGGACATCCCCTACGAGCCCAAGTACAAGCCCTCCTGGCTCTGACCTCCCCCCCCCCACAATCTCCCCTCAATGTCCATCTATCCCATGTGTGCCTCACCGCAAAATGCAACGTATGGCAGCTCCAAATTGATTATTACAATTATTAGTTCATTATATTATTAATATTTTTAATTATTGTTTATTTATTGTAGTGGAGGTCATGGTTCTGATCGAGCAGATGAGGTGGAAGAGGAGTAGGTAGAGGAGGAAGTGGTGGAGGAGGAGAGTTCATCAGTCGTTATCGTGGTGTACGCCGTGGCGGCATCGTCGCCGTCACTGACTTCATCGTCGTCGTCGGAGAGCAGAACGTAGGCCGTGCTGGCCTTGCTGGCACGCACAGTGCGGCGCTGTCGGAAGTGGGACAGCTGACGGCCTGGTCGCTGCTTCCTGCGCCTGAGAAGCCCACACAACCTAAAGCCAAGGCAACGCACAACACACACACACACACAACACGCACACACACATGTGCACGTGCACAGCCACCCAGAAGGTGAATGAAGCGCAGGGGGGGAGGCACTCATCATCACCAGAAGGTGTGGCGAGACGTACCGCCTCCGGGTGTGCGAGTCGAGGCCATAGGCCAGGGAATTGAGGAGGCCCTGCGAGCCCACGGTGAACGACTGGACGAGCAGAAGCCCGAACACCTCGTCATCCCCCGACGCCCTGCTCAGCTGCTTGTCAGCCACACGACACGCACGACACACACGGCACACACGGCACACACACATACACACACACACGACACACACGACACACTCTGCACGCACACACACGATACACACGACAAGCGCACCAGCCGTAGATTCGGTTGATGGTGGGGCAGAGCCAGACGAAGAGGAAGATGAGGGGGTAGGCCGCCAGCGAGCGAAGCATGCGCCGCTCGTTCTCGACCACCTTGGCCGACTTGGCCGAGCCCGGCAGCTCGGCGAAGGTGTGAGAGAGCCGGAGGAAGATGAGCAGGTAGAGCGCGGCGATGGCCAGGAGACAGACGAACAGCGGCACGTAGAAGCAGGCGAAGCGCCACACGTTGCCCAGCGTGGCGTCGCTGCGGATCCAGCACCAGATGGCCGTCTCCCCGTAGCTGGTCGTGGTCGCCGGCAGCACGGTGAACACCACCGCGATGGGCCAGCCCACCACGTGGTACCACACCTCTATCGCACACGCACACCGCACGCACGGCACACACACCATCAGGTGCTGATGGTGGAGTGAGTAGCAGAGAGTTGGGTACCGAATTTGTCGGTCTCGCGATAGTTGGCCACGACGATGAGGAACACGTTGACGGCGATGATCACAGTCCACACACCCGACGCCGAATCCGCAAACTGCATGGCCTGTCCCCGTGTGCGGTGGTGCGTGTGCGTGTGCGGTGGTGCGTGTGCGTGTGCGCGTGATGAGGTGCGGATCGTGTGATCGGTGCGCGCTATGGGTGAGTCGCGTACGACGCCCTGGAAGATGCACAGGCCGGCGTTGAGGTGCACCAACGGAGTGAGGAGGTTGACCGATGCGGAGGCGCCCACCATCGACGTCAGGACCATTACCAGCCGACCAGCCACGGTCTGGTACCTTTATTAAAATATAAAAATCATTTATTATTATTCATTTTTATTTCGATTTAATAAATTAAGGAAGGAAAAGGTACTTGCGGAAGCCGCATAGGGTGGCGAGCATGAGGAGACAGGCCACCAGGCTGATGCCGGACATGATCACCCGGACCAGGAGCAGCGTCAGCTCTTCCCCCTCCATCTTGCACCCCCTTCCGCCCCAACGCCGTGGCGTTTAAATTAAAACGGCAGCCAACCGGTTATATCCCCGAATGAAATTTCGTTGCTTTTGCTGCCGGTGTCTAAGCAACTTATGTCGACACGTTCATTTTCTTTTGCATCTGTTGTTGCAAGAGTGGTGGCAGGAGCCGAGTAGCATATGATCATCTGAGCGAGAGAGGGGGCCAATTCGATAGATCATCACATCTTTTATCGTGCAGAAAAAGCCTGCGCATCTGATTCCGCGGTGCAGCTCGATTCCCGAAAAGAAATCAATTTATCGATACAACCGCACGAGGGGGACCTTGTACGAGTACACGGCATCGAGCAATGAAGAAGTTGGCGATCGGAGGCGAGCCGAAGCCGCCGAATGGCGTCGCCGCGCCGACAATTGTCGTCAGCGATGCACCCGAGCTCGCCGGCGGAGTGCCATCGCCCTCAATGAAGGGGGCGGGATCAGACCGGTCCGACGATAGGAGGAAGGCCGAGAAGAAGGAGAAGATCGAAAGGGAACGATTGGAGAAGTTGGAGAGGAAGGAGCAGAAGAGGCTGGAGAAGCTGGAGAAAGAGCACAAGAAGAGTCCCAAGGGAAGCGAGATCGGCAAGGAAGGAAAGGACGGCGGAGGGAAGGTGGTGGATCGATTTCTGGGATCGAAGGTTGCAATGGAGAAGTTCTTCAAGAAGAAGGTCAAAGAGCGAGAGGAGCGCAAGGAGAAGGAGAAGGAAGAACGTGAGCGAGAGCGCATCCTAGCTGAGGAATTATCCGCCAGCGGCGATGAGGGAGGCGAGGCGTTAAAGGACAAGAAGAAAAAGAAGAAGATGAACAGCAAGATCAGCAAGGGCTACTCCTCGGAGGGCACGAGCAGCAACGATGAGAATGGCGGGGATGGCAGGAAGAAGAAGCGGAAGACCTTCTCTACAGGCAGCGGCAGCGCCTCATCGACCAGCTCGTCGCCATCTTCATCCTACACATCTCCGTCGCCATCACCATCCACAACGCCCGACAAGGAGAAGGACCCAATGGAGCGAGAAAGTGAGCGAGAGGACGAGAAGGAAGAGACCACGGATTCAGATGATTCGAGTAGCAGCGATGACTCCGAATCCGAGGAGGAGAGCGGCCAAAGGGGGCTTCTCCACCCGAACAGTGGCAGCAACATTGCCCTACGGCAGCAGCGGCGACGAAAGAAGGATTGGACAGTCTCTCAGGTAGCCCTCCTCGCCCCATCGTGCATCAAAAGCCGTCAAAAAATCGAGTAGAGCCAAAAATCTGCGGATTTGCCAGCAACGTTGCCCTACGGCAGCAGCGGCTGCGACGCTACGCGCCACGCTTTGCCCTCTTTCTCACACACCCTCTGTGCCTACGTAGGAGTTCCGAGTTTTAGCTCTGGAGACGGAGGAGAAGCAGAAGCCAGACTTCTCCTTCGCCCTGCAACACAAGAACAGGTACATTGCCCCCCCTCCGTTCGTAAATGGCTCCACACACGCGCTCGCTAGCGGCAAGGATGGTGTGCAGCCTGTTGTGCTGTGCGATTGCTGACCTGCTCTCCGCACACATACAGAGACAAGAACCGTTACGGCAATGCGCTGCCGAATCCGGAAACGCGGGTCGTTTTAAAGGGAGGAGACACGGACTACATCAACGCCAACTACATTCAGGGTGAGCAGACGCAGTATATTGCTGCCCAGGTACTGATTCTTGCTATCTTCTTCTTCTTCTTCTTCTTCTTCTTCTCGGCTTAAACAAAGCTAATACTGAGCCCATCTTATCTCCTCTTGTGTTGCAGGCTCCTCTGCCGAACACGTTTAGCGATTTTTGGCTGATGGTGTGGGAGCAAAATACTCGCGTGATAATGATGCTTACGAGGTAAGAAACGCACGCACGCACGCACGCACGGGCTAAGAATGGTTCACGATGTATGCAGGTTGACCGAAAACGACAGAACAAAGGCCGAGATATACTGGCCGCGCAAGGGTCCACTGGGGAGGGCGCGAGGCAGCTTCTCTGGGGAGGACGGTGGTTCGTTCTCGCTCCCTTTCGTCGCTCATTGTCGCCTACCATTAGCCTTCGGTTTTCATATTACGCCTGAGGGAACATTTACAATTGAAAATAATCAATTGACTAAGTCAACCTAGACGTTGGTGGCGACGATGCAGGGTGGAAGCAGTACGGCAAGATGAGGGTCAGCCTGGTCAAGTCCACAATACAGGAGGGCGACGAAGACGTTACGATTCGTCACTTCCGCCTACGGTACGCACACCGCGCACCCACCGCGCGCGACCTGACCATCGTAACTCACACGCATCAATGGATCGTCCGTTGCTCGAACCGGACACAGAAACGACGAAGAGCCCGATGTGGAGCGGCAGGTGATTCAGATTCACTTCACGGGATGGCCCGACTTTGGCGTTCCTCAAAACACCAAGGCCTTCACCCAGTTGCTCGAGGTGCGTGTTGCGTGTTGCGTGTTTTTTTTGGTCGGCGACTAATCTTTGGCAACCATCGGAACTGTGACAGTTGATGGAGAGCTTCAACAAGGAGCCAACGATCACCGGAAGCACGGAGTCCAACGGACCCATTGTACTCCACTGCAGCGCCGGTCTGGGGAGAACGGGCACCCTCATTGCAGCCCACATCGCGGCTGAAAAGCTCAAGCTCAAAACGGTGAAGAGTAAGGAGGACATCGATATGAAGGCCATCGTGGCTGTTCTGCGAGAACAAAGGCACGTTCTCTCCCGTTGTTGTTGTTGGTTGTTGGTTGTAGTTGTTGGTTGTTGTTGGTTGTTGTTGTTGTTGTTGTTTTCTTTTTCTGACATCCGGCTGTTTCGTGACGTGGTTTGTGTGTGATAGATCGGGCATGGTGCAGACAAAGTGTCAGTACAAGTTCCTTCACGACCTCCTCAACGACCTGTGACACCTTTCTCCTTCCCATTGACGGATTTCCTCTTGAATGACGACTTCTAGCTTCCTCCTACACACTCACGCTTCTCTCTCCTCGCGTCTGTGCTTTGCTGGCTCGATGAACCTTCATCTTTCTCTTTCTACTCTTTCCTCCATCCTCTTCTTCACTTTCACCACACCTGTTAATTATTGCCTTTGTTATTTATTATTGAAGACCCACAAACATTGAGAGATCTTACTTGCTGGCTGGGTTTACTACCTTTACCTTTCGTTTTGGTTGCTCACAACTTCCAACTTGAAGTTTCCACATATCAAAGAAAAGTTAACGCATAGACCTGTCTCTCTCTTTCTCTTTCTCTTTCGCACTCTACCCAGCTACCACATGAAGCAGCTGCCGCTCGCCCACGCCGTCCTGCTCGTTCTCGCTGTCCATAGTTCTCTTCTGTCGGGGGGTGGTCCACGCTCAAGGTCCCACTCAGTTCGGCCCTGCCCCCGTCTGCTGGAGCTCCGGCCTCGCCTCCAGCCCCCAGACTCAACAAGCGGTGCTGGAACTTGGGCACTGGCAGTGACCTTGCCGGGGTCTGGGGCGCAGCCGCTCTGCTGGAGGGCCAGGCGCCCTTCACCAGGGTCGCCGTCGGGGAGGACCACGCGCCTTGCGCAGCACGGGTGAAGTGGTCTGCTGGGGCGGGCCAGACTGGCCGGTGGCGCCACCGGACTGCGCTTGACCCAGGTGTGCCGAGGGCAGTCGTTCAGCTGCGGCCTCGACGCCACCATGGGCCAGGCCCGGTGCTGGGGCACGCAGGCCCAGTTCGCGGGTGGACCTGCGGCCTTGGCGTGGCGCCCTCGCCAAGCCCGTCAGCCAGCGTCACGCCCTCGCCGACGCCCTCGCCCAGCCCGTCGGCATTACCCCCGAGTCGAACTCTCGCCCGAACACTTCGAGGCCATGACCGAAGCCCTGCGGTACCACCCCAAGGCCGAGCAGATGATGGGCGAGGGCGGGCCGGCTGTTCGTCCAGCGCTTCGGGCCGGACGCGTGCTTCTTCGTGCGGCGGATCGACGGGTCCGAGGAGGACTTCAGCTGCGCGAAGCTCCACAAGGGCGCCGCGCGGTGTCGATCGGGCGAGGTGCGGCTGGCATTCCGCGAGGCGGTCGAGGCGGACGTCGAGGCCTTCAGACGGCTGGCCCGGCGCGTCGGTGAAACCTGAAGCAGAAGCTGGCGAAGAGCTGCTCTGCGGCATCAGCGGCCGCCAGATAACGATCGGGAGCGACGAGTGGGACGTCGACCACCAAGACCCGCCGTCGTTCGCCCAGATCGTGAACGAGTTCTTGGACGACCGGCAGATGGCCAAGGCCGACGTCGAGGTGAGGAAGCGGGCCGGGGTCAAGCCGCGCCTGGCGGATGACCAGCTACGCCGAATTTCGGGAGGAGCACAAAGAGGGTGCCCGGCTGCGCGTGGTGCTCAAGTCCGAGCACCGGCGCATGATCATACAGTGGAAATATCTTGGTAGGCAGGCTCTTCTCCTTGTCCTCTCAGGTTTCTGCAGTTCCTCACATGTGGACATGTCATTGCTTTTGAGAGGCACTGGGCCAAAACTTTGTGATTTTGGCATTCCACCTACTTGCTGAGGCTGCACACCTGCACACCCTATCCTCCTGGTGCTCCTGGATACATATGAGCTGCTGTTGCTGGAGGCCAACATCTTCTACAACACTGCCTTCTCTACACCATTGGCCTGTAGTGGAACTCCTCACTGTTTTGGTTAACTCCTCCCTTCTGAGGGGATCAAGGAGCATGGCATCATGACTCCTGGCAACTGTGTGTGGTTGCTGTTCAGATTGAGAAATGTACTGACTGGGAACCTCATCTGTCTTCCTTGTCATTGTCAAGTGCAAGGAGAGTGCAGCCCTGTTTTTTATTCACCTACTTGACAATTTGCAGTGCACAGGAGCACCACACCTATGTGTCCTTTGACAAGGTTCTGTTGCTATGAGGATGAGAGGAATTTTTTGTATGCTGATCTGGTGCTGTTGGAGACAGATGCAAGGGGAAGGAGGATAAAGGATGGAAAGAGAAGTAGACTCTGGATGATCCAAGTGAGTGTCCTGTTTTACAGTTTTTGTACATGTAGGTGCAAGTCACCCTGCCATCAGCCATGGCCAACAACAAGGAACTGTTGAAGCTCCTGAAGGTGGTAACTGCCCCATTGCATTCATGCTGTTATCAAAGCCCATTATGCTATGAAACTGTAGGACATTCTATCATGTATGTGTACACAATAGAATGTTTACTAATTTTTCTCCTCCTAGCCCACAGATCATGTGAAGGTGAATGCTGCAACAATCAATTATCAACTGAATGATAAAGAGCAAACCAAGTGTTCAAAAAAGGGTCAGTGACTCTTTTTCACTAACTATCTGGCAGCATGTGCAGATTGTCAGGGCTGTAACACCAGTATCTGCACACCCTCCAGAAACAGACTGGTGTCATCAGTGTTGTCCAAACCATTTATATGGGCTTCATTAAACTCACAAACAAAATCACTTTTCTGGACCTCTCATTTCAAATGAGCACAAGTTTGGTTGATTATGGTGCAGATTCCTCATGGGATGACCCACCAGGCATGGGGCCAAGCTCAAACACAATGTTGCTTGATGTACCCACAGCTTGGCTGAAGTGCATGCTGGTGTGCCCATGCTGTCAGAGAATGGCAACATCAACAGGCTCCTCCTCACACCCATGCTCTTCATCAACACCTATGAGTCAGCATTGTTGTGGGTCAAGGATTAAATAGCAATCTCCATGTGTCTTGCCAATGCCTCCACCTGCGAGCTTGGGCAGGCAAGCAGCTGGAAGCTGGTCTGCATTGTGCCCCAGGGTGATATGGCCTTCTTCCTCATCCTGCATGAGGTGGTGGTGAAGCCCATGCAGAAACTCAAGCAGGGCATGCACATCTACTTCCATGCCTGCAACAATGAGATCAAGTGCTTCAGCTTAGTCTTTGCCTTTATTGGTGACCATCCAGGGCTTGCCAAGATTGCACAAACCATGCACCCCTTCCCAGTTGTGCTCAAGCAGGGGTCCATTCTGACTTACATGTGTGCATGGTCAGAGCTCATCACCAGTGGCCTCCATTGCTGTTGCCTGTGCAATAACCATTGGGATGACTTCAAGAGGGCCCAGTTTCCTGCAGGCCAAGAGCCCCAGCCATGGGATCCTACTACATCATACAAGGCACAAAAGCAGGCCATCCACAATCTTGGGGTGGAGGGGAAGATCACCACAGCAAAGGAAACACTCAAGGAGAACAGATGGGGCAAGCACCTCAGCCCCATGTGGGAGCTGGAATGGGTGCATGCCAACTTCTACAAGTGCTTCAGGGTCTGCTCACTTCATCTTCTCTCACTTGGGATCACCAAGGTACTGACACACACACACACACATCACACCTGCAGGAAATTGTTTCTCCTCCCTCAATGTTGCTGCCCACTCATGAGCCCCTTCCCTTCTCATCTCACTCACACAGCATCAACATTAACATTAGTGGGTTACCTGCCAGTCTGTTTGACTTTGTGAGTCAGTTGGAGACTGTGGAGTTGTAGCACTGGCTCAGACTCTGGCACCTTTGTGACTTGGCTGGCTTCCTTTTCATCTTCTCTTCTGTCAATCAAGCAGCACTGCAAAACTCTGTTGTTTCATGAAGGAGTACAATGCCTGATACCTGCACGCACCGCCATGATGAGCAATGAAATAAATTGCACATATGGCCTTAAATAGAAACCAAATAAATAAATAAATAGGTGGCCTTGTACCGGGAGATGTAAACAGTGCGTAGCCAGGGGGATTGCTTCATCCAAGCCACCGTGCGCGAACTGACCAGGCTCTCGCACTTGGCCACGTTGAGGGCCTCGAGCTTGCGGCATCGCTCCAGGAGGAACCACAGCGTCTTGTCCTGCAACTGCGTCAGGCCGCTCAAGTCCAGCTCTGCACACGCGCGTGATGAGTTGATGGGTTGTGTGTGTCGTGTGTGTCGTGTGTGTGTGTCGATGATGATGATGGCGGTGGTGGACCAATCAGGGACGGGCAGTGGGTGCCCAGGTCGACGATGCCGCCCTGCGACGAGTCTGCCGTGAGATGGGAACAGTGGGCCAGGCCCACGAACTTGAGCCGAGCCGCGCACTCGCTCTCGAGTAGGTGGCGCAGGCCCACGTTGCTGATGGCCGTCCCGCCCACGTCGATTCGCGTCAGCTCCCGAGCCGACTCCACCACCGCTTTCATGTGCGCATCCCCGAAGCCTACAAGCGCACATCTGAGCATGTGTCGTGTGTGTCGTGTGTGTCGTGTGTGTCGTGTGTGTCGTGTGTGTCGTGTGTCGTGTGTGTCGTGTGTGTCGTGTTGTACCCCACACGCCGGAGACATTGAGATTGCGCAGGCGAGGGCAGTGGGACACGACGTGGGCCACGCCCTGGCCGGTCACTCGCACGCAGCCGCCCAGCTCGAGTCGCTCGAGCCGCGCCAGGGCTCCGGTGGCGGCCAAACGCTCGAGTCCGTCGTTGCTCAACTGCGGACTGGTCCGCACTTTAGCCACACGCGCATCATCGCACACGCACATGCACACGCACCACCGCACACGCACACGCACGCGGTCATACCAGGAAGAAAGGATGAGCACGCGCAGGGTGGGTCCGAATGGGACGAAGGCCGACAGGACGTCGTCGCTGACCGGACAGTGAGAGAGGATGAGCGTGGCCAAGCGTCGGCAGCGGGCCAGCACTCGCCGCAGACTTGCCTCCTCGTTCGACACATCTGCCCAGACGCAACGAGCACAGAAAAAGGCAAAAAAGATGAAAAGATGAAAAGATGAAAAGATGAAAAATCTTTGTTTCAAGGTGTCAATCATACCGGAGAGAGTGGCGCGAAGAGAGAGATCGAGTTGCGACCGCTCTTGCCACAGGAGATCGCGCCACTCGCGGCACACCTCTGTGTAGCCCAGGCCATCGTTGGCCAGCGATTCGAAAATCTTGATCTTCACCTCCAAAGGCAAGTCCGACCACATCTTTCTTCTTGGCGGGCAAAATAAAGCAAATAAAAGCAATAGACAGGTTGAATCATTATTGCTTCAACTTGGTGATGTGCTTGAACTCTACAAAGAAAGAAGAAGAGGAGGAGGGTGTATGGACAAGAGAGGTGCTGTGGCGATATGATGACGGTAGGAAGAAGAGGGATGGGATCTTTAGATGATCCAGGACGCCCGGTGGTCCGCGTGGTTGGGCGCGTGCGAGGTCGAGGCCGATGTGGTGGTGGAAGGCAGGGTCATACCGCGGGCTCGCATCTCGCGCTGGTTGCGCCGCAGCATGCGCTCGGTCTCGCGCTTCTCGGTCTCGTAGCGCGCCCGTACGAAGTCCTTGTACTCCCTCATCTCCTGCAGGCTCTTGGGCGGACCACGCGTCCACTCGGGGATCACGACCTCCGCCTCGCTCTCGTCGTCATCGTCGGCCACTTCTTCATCGTCGTCGTCGCTGCTGATGTCGTGCGGCTTCTGCTTCTCCTTGTCGTCGACGTTGTTGTCGTCGTTGAGGTCCTCGTCGCTCTCGCTCGAGGTGTCCCAGCTGTCGTCGCTGCTCGACCGGTCGCGCAGCTGCTTCATCTTCTCCAACAGCTGGTCGATCTCCTCCTCGTACTTGGTCGCGATCGCCGCAGCCGCCGGCGTCAACGCGCGGCCGCCGACAGTTCCATCAGCGACATTGCCGGCCAGCAACCGCTTGCGCTCGCGGTCGATCTCGGCCTGCGACGCGCCCTGCGCCCGGAGGGCCTCGAGCATGCGCCGCGGGCTCTCGGCCGTCGTCCACGATGATGCCCCACCGGCGGCGAAGCTCACCTTCTTCGACTTGTCGGCAGCGACACTCGTTGAAGACGTCGATGAAGAAGACGACGCCGTCGACATGCCCGGTCGTACGATGACGTCCTTCATCTCCTTTTCGCCCTCGTCGACGACGGCGGCGACGGCCTTCAACTGATGCTGGTCACGTTCGCGCCGCCGCGGGCTGATGGCGGTGATCCAGCTGCCGTCGAGCTGCTGGCGATCGTCGTCGTCGAGCTCCTTCATGTCGGAAATGCCCTGGATGGGCGCTACGGTGATCTTCCGCTTCTCCCGCATCAGCTTGTCGACGGCCGGCTGAACTCGCACCTCCTCCTCGCTCGACGTCGAGTCCTCGTCGGTGAGCTCATCCTCCTCTTCATCGCTGCTCGTGCCGCTCTCGGCCTCCTCGGCGTCCTGGTCGATGTGGCTGTCGTCGCCGTCGTCTTTGGCGTTATTGAGCTGGTCGAGCAGCTTCTCCTCGAGCTCCGCGGCGGCCTCGCTTTCCGCCTTCTGGTGGGCGCCGGCCGACGCATTCGTGGCATTCCTCTGCTGTTGGGGTCCTCCAGCTCGCGGCGCCATGAGGAAGGGCAGGAAGACGCCGCCCGACGGCGGCTTGCGCGGCGACGCCGGCACGGCCTCGGCCGACTCCCTGACGTCCACGTCATCGGCCGACGACGACGGGCTGCCGTCATCAGCATCATCCGCCGACGGCATGGCAACCGACGACGGCATCGAGGCCAGCGATGGGTTGTAGAGCGAGGGCAGCGACGGCGTCGAGTTCGAGGTGCCGCCGGACTGGTGATGCGTGTAAGTCGGCGCAGAGGTGGTGTGCGGCAGCACCGACGTGGATGAAGATTCGTGCGGGGCCACCAGGGCATCGGCGCTCAAGGTGGCGGTCGCCGTGGGGAGACACGTGAACGAGGACTGGCTGGCGGCGAACGAGGCGATGGGCGACGGCTCGGTCGGTACGAGCAGCAGCGGGTGGTTGGCCGGCGACGGGTACATGGGCGTGCCGTCGCGGGCCATCTTGACGCCCTCCATGTCTTGCGCGAGCATGAGCATCACCTTGAGCCGCTCCTGCTCGAACCGCTGGCGCTCCTCGGCGAACCGCCTGCGCTCCTCCTCGAGCTGCCGCGCGGCTTCCTGCAGCTCACGCTCCTGCTGGGCGGCGCGCTGGATCACCTGCGCGTGCGATGCCTCCGCCGCGCCGACGCTGGCCTTGCGCTGCTTCTGGGTCTGCTGCTTGTTCACGCGACCGCCGGCGCCGGCGCCGATGCGCACCGAGAAGAGGCGCGACACGTCCCAGTTGGACTTCTTGCCCTCGCGCTCGACCTCCTCGAGCGACATGACCTTGCCGGACTTGGTCTTGACCATCGTCTTGGCCTTCATATGCTGCTGCTGCTTCTTCGCGTGGGCCGTGATCGGGTTGATCGTCACCGTCACGCTGTCGGCCGCGGCCGGGTTGGCGGTGGTGAGCTTGTCGCGCTGCTTGCGGGTGGCGATGCTCCCGCTGCTGCTGCCAAAGAGGCTGTTGCGTCGCTTCTTCTCCCGGCCCACCCGCTCCATCTTCCGCTTTTCCTCTCGTTCCTCCTTCTCGAGCTTCTTGAGCCGCTTCTTCTCCTCCTTCTCCTTCTTCCTTTGCTCCTTGGTCTTCTTCTTGTCACGCTTCGTCTTGGCCGACTCACTGTGCGTCCACAATCGTTAGTTGCGTGTGCGATGTGTGCGGTGTGTGTGGTGTGTGCGGCGTGTGCGGTGGGCACGTACGGGTTGACGGACACACTGGTGAGGGAGCCGGAGCGGGAGAGCGACCGGCCGGAGAGGGCCGACGAGAAGGAGGAGATGTCGCGCGGGCTGTCCGAACGCGCGTCCTCGAAGGTGTCGACGTCAAACGCGCTCGAGCCCACCGTCGAGATGTTGTCGTCGGTCGACAGCATCGACACCGAGCCGTCGTCGTTGGTCGACTCGCCGTTGGGGCCGGTCATTATCACCGACGCGCGCCACAGCCGCTCGCGCGCGCTGTCGACCTGGCGGTTCCACTGCGACGCGCTCAGGCGGCCCTTGTCCCGCCGCTCGCGGAACTTGCGCTCCTCCTCGTCCTGCTTCTTCTTCTGCTCGCGCTCGAGCTTCTCCCGCTTCTTCCGCTGCTTGGGCGTTTCCTCGCGCACCACGCCGCCCACGGCTGCGCCGGCCGTGTTGCATCGGCGCCTCTTGGTGTTGACCGCCGACGGGGTCTCCTCCTGGCCATGCTGGTGCTCGTCGTCGACCTCAGGCCGCTTCACATTGGCACCGCACTCGCACGGGTAGAAGCTTTGGCCCTTCTTGATGCTCACTGCGTGTGTGGTGTCAGAGCTCACGCAGCAGGACACGACACACACGACACGACACACGACACCGACGACACACGCAGAGCGAATAAAAAACAAACCTTGAGCGTTGCAGCGGTAGCAGGAAATGACGGCCACGTCGGGTTCAGGGTGGGTGCTGGCGCGCTGCCTCGGGGTGGTGTCCACCTCCTGATTTGAGAGCCACAACAGATGAGACTTGCTTTGGGCAAGACGAGATTGTGGAAACCGCGGGGGGGTACCGTGGATGACGAGGACGAGACGAGGGACGCGGTAGAGGCCGAGGGTGAGATGTGCTTCTGCTGGTGGACGGGAACGTCGTCGTTACTGATCTGGAGGACATCGATGCCACCGTCGGTGCCGTCATCGCTTAGAAAGATCTTGAACAAGGGCAGCCGATCGGGGTAGCCCTTGAGAATCTCCACACATTCGGAGGGAAAGAGTCCGATCTTGCCTCCAATCTGCCCGACCCACCACGATGGGTCCTGAATTGGCGAGAGCTGCGTCAGCCTCCATCATTGATAAAATGAGAAGAAAAGATATACTGCTACACGAAACGCAAAGGGAAGGGATTACCTCTTCGGCTTTGGCGATGGCGGTGAGCACGTCGTACTGACGGAAGCCCAGCTCGTAGTCTTGAACAGCTTCGAAGGTGCACATGGCGACCACGCGCACGCCTTCGCTCTCTCCCACGGCAAGCGGCTGCTGGTCGGCATCAGAGACAGACCTCTGCCGTTCAATCTGCACCGCGACGGCATAGGCAATGGAGGAAGATCAATCCTGTGTCCTTTCCATGAAGATTTGAGCTCCTCTACACGACCACTACAAACTTGTAGAGGCCAAGCAATAGACGGACATTCCCCACAGAACAGCTCCATGGGCTGTAGAAGAAGGGAGAGGGAACATACCTTGGTATCCATCTCGTGCTAGAGTGGTGTGTAATGTGGGTGGTAATGTACAGCTAGTTGAGTGTTTCAGTTCTTCCCCCTGGTGGAACTGAAGCTGAAGGTGGGCGGTTTGGTGTTGAACAAAAGAGAGAGAGAGAGGTATGTGGAGAGATAGGGAGTGATGAAGACGAATTCCTTGAGGTTGCTTGAGGAGGAGGAGGAGGAGGACCAACTACAAGACAACACCAGCTGAGAGAAGAGAAGGGAAGAGGCAGGCGGAGGCGACAGAACACTCGGCCCGAGGCGCGTGCAGCGTTGCGCCAGCTGCGATTGGCCAGGGCTGCACTCTGGCGGACCTTCGCCAGGAGTCCAGGAGTCAGGACCAGCTTTGGGGCCAGTGACCGGCTTCCCTTCGTCGCACAGAGCAACATTGGATCTCTCCGGCCCCATCTGTTTGGCCAACTGGTGGATATCTTTTTAACTCCGATTCCGCAGACTCCGTTATGCCGCGGACAAGATCACTTCATCTGGGTATGTGGGTAGTACTCCAGGTCCAGAGCTAAGCTTGTAGAGCTGTCGCCTTCATTATGTACAAGTTGTCGCTTTCGTTCTTTTTGGGTCCGACACAGCCTTCAGTTGTGGGAGTGCGTTGTGGTGGGAGCGGGGCGCTGGAGAGAGAGCGGGCGCCCACAGCACGCGCAGAAGTGGGCATCGGCGGCGCATCCACGCCCGCAGCCCTCGCACGACTGCTCGTGCCGCCCGAACCCGCCCGCTCGCCTCCGATCCCCGCCGTCGGCGTCATACCGCACGCCGTCCTTCTCCAGTATGACGTAGTCTCCAGCACCGGCCTTGTCATCGAGGCCTTCATCGTCGTCTTCGAGGTGGTGCTTCGCCAGGATGGCGCGCAGTCGGCGAACCTGGCGCTGTAGCGGTCGCACAACGCAGAGGTGGGCCAGGATGAGAACCACGAACATGAAGAGTTGGACGAGCAGGAGGCCGCCGTAGGCCGCGTAGTTGACCATCGGCACGTGCAACCGACTCACGCTCAGGTCCTGCGGCATGTGAGCCGGTGGGTGAGATGACGAAGGTGAACAACCCATACGGTGCTGGACTGTACCACATCAAAGTTGTGGGCTGTGAGCTGCATGTTGGGGAGAGTCAATGCCGGGGCGTCGATGGTGACGTTGAACACGATATCGCCTCCAGCCACAGCCCTGCTAAAGCCTGTTTTGTTAGTCGAAAAAGAAAGCAAAGCGAAAGAGAAGAAGCGCAGTAGCGTACTTGAAGAGGTCGTCATGCCCAGATTTGGCCTCTGGGGATGTGGAGGAGACAAGGTTGCGGCAGAAGCCCAGGAGGAAGGCGGCTTCGTCGTGGCTAACCCCAATGCTGGCGCTCCTCTGTGGCGCCTGGCCCTCCTGACCCACGCCCGCACAGCCCGTGGCCAGAGCCAACAGCAGCCATACGCCTGGGTTGGCAGTTGAGGTCAGCACCTTCTCCAGCTGGAAAGAAAGGGTGGGGGTCTACCAGCGGCGATGGCCAGAGATGTTTGGGGTGGGGTGACTAGTGAACGGTGGCGGATCAACATGTGGAGGAGCGCGTGAGAATCACAATGGACTACGGTTGGGCCAGAATGGCGTGCGTGGGGAAAGGATGCAAGTGTGACATTGATCGTTCGTTGAACACGGCCAACAAGAAGTTGCCAGAATTTCGCTGGCTCGCTACGCCAACCAACCCAACAACAAGCTTTGAATTCCTTCGTTCGCCAATGTAAGAACGTTCTACATTTACATTTATCTACTGTTGCAATGTGATTTGGGGGGTGACACTATAAAAGGTCTCTTACATGACGAAGAAGCGACGAGGCGGGGCGCCGCTGACCAGCTTGGTCATCTCGGCCTCGGCGATCGCCTTCCACTGGCTCCACTCCTGGTCGGGCCTGTCGCGCAGGAACTTGGCCAGCTCGTCCACGAGCTCGGCGCGCCGGGGCGCGTCCTTGAGCCGCTCCTTGCCCTCCTGGTTGATGCGGGCCACGACTACGTTCTTGAGCCGCCGCTTGACCTCGGTCTCGAAGGCCGCGTGGTGGGTGCTCAGGTCCGCCACCTTAAGCTCGGCCTCGCAACGGCGCTGGATGACGTCAGCATCGACCAGAGCGCCGCCGTCGGCGGTGCCAAAGGCCACCTCGTCGTCGGTGGTGACCGCGGCCATCGCGCGGCGGATGTCCTCCGCGGCCACGAGGTGCACGAGGCCCACCAGCTGGCGGGCGTGCTCGTTAAGGTGGTCGTCGATGTCACCAGCGTCGAGCAGCTGCTCGGTGGCGCGCTCATAGTGGTTAAGGAGGCGGCCCAGCATCGCCTTGTAGTGCGTCGACACACGAAGCGAGCCGTGATGGTTCGACTGGGAGTCGCCCACGGGCGGCGGCGGGATGCCGGCCGAGTCGCACACCGTCTGGCCGGGCTCCTCGCGGGTCTGGTGGTCCTTGATCCACCACTTCATTCCATTCACGAACCTGCACCCCATTTGTGTTCGTGTTTGTTTTTCAGTGTGTGCGTGTGCGCGCAGACACACACTGTGCGAGACGGGGCGTTGAGTGTCGATGAGCGTACCTGGTGAGGAGGATGGCCTTGCGGACGGCGTTGTTGGAGTAGTGCTCTTCGGCGGCTCCGAACTCGATCTGCGCACGTTGGTGCGACGCCGCGTCAGCCTGGACCTCCGTGTAATGTGTCAATGACGAGGAGAGGCCGTGTACCTCGAGTGTGTTCTTAACCTCGTACTTCTTGTCGTCGACGTCTTTGTAAGTCACCACCAGCTCCAGCGTTTGCTTGCCTGAGGGTTGTTGCGAAGGTCAGTTGCAACAATGACACACGACACACACACGACACACAACACGACACACACACAGGGCCGCACAAAGGCGAAGGGGAAGGAGCGTACGAGGGGTCGACGTGGGCGCCGCTGGGGCGATCTTGGCGAGGATCATGCCGCCCTTGGTGCCTCCGTTCTCGTCCTTGGCCGAAGGGAAGCCGCTCAGCATCCGCATCAACTAAGGAGTGGTGGTGGTTGTAGTAGTCACACATTTTTCGTCAGCACACACTGCACCTTGCGCGCGGTGAAGGTGATGTGTGTGCGTACCAGGCCATCTTGGGGAATCTCATTCCCAGGCGAACCGTACACCCTGAACAGCGTCGTGGAGTGTCAGTCGTGTGTGTGGTGTGTCGTGTGTGTGTGTGTGTGTATGTGTGTGTGTGTGTGTTGTTAATGTGCGTACCGCTGGACGCGTACGGCAGAGGAGCTGCCTTCGACGATCTTGATGTCGACGTCGAAGCAGCACGGGGTGACGACGTACTCCAGGTCCTGCTCCATGAGCTTCTTGAACTCTGGCGACGACGTCACCGTGAAGTAGTTGCACCCCTTGATGTGCGAGATCGAATCGATCAACTGGACCGCGCACAGAACAACCACCGCCATAGGATTGAGAGGTGAGTGTCCACCCAGAAGAACAAAAATAAGAAATGATAAATAACTACAATGCAAGAAGAAGAAATAAAAAACAATAAATATGTAAGAAACAAGATACCTCGACGCCAAAGTCGACACCGAGGCCGATGAAGGTGGTGAAGATCTTGTCCTTCTCCGACAGCTTTTGGCAGACTTCCAACAGCTTCTTGTTCTCGAAACTTGACGGCTGTGTGACACCACGACACACGACACGCGTGAGCGAAAAGCGGTCGAGCAGTCCAACAGCCACCACCACCACCACCACCACCACCACCACCACCACCACCACCACCACCACCACCACCACCACCACCCGGGGCTAAATGGGGGAGGGGCGCACTCGTGCGTCGGTGAGGAACATTATGCGGCGGGAGGCGGCGGTAGCAGAGCTTTTGGTGTTTTTGGTGCCCTGCAGCTGGGCCAGGTGTTCGGTGATGAGCTGCGCGCCGCCGAGCAGACCCTGCACCATCTCCGTGCTGCCGCGCGGCTCCAGCACCGCGATTTGGGCCTTGAGCGCCGCCATGTCCAGCGAGGCCACCGGCTGCATGCTCTGTACCTCCTCTGTCCTCTGCGCGCCATAGGCACAATTGCTAAGTTTTTGTGTGTGTGCGTGTGTCGTGCGCGTGCGGTGTCGTCTGTCGTGTGCGTGCGTGTCGTGTCATCGATCGGTTGACATACGTGATCGAAGAGGACGAGGCCAAAGGCGTCGGTGGGCTTGAGGTTGTCGAGCATGGTCATCACGCACTCCTTGGCGACCTCGAGCTTGTTCTTGGTTTCGCCTGCACAGAAGATCGCCTCGCGATGAGTCTACACGACACACGACACACGACACACGACACACGACACACGACACGCACGACGAGTTCTGTGGCGAACCGTGGCGGAAGGGCGAGCCCATGGAGCCGGAGATGTCCAGCACAATAGAGAGCTGCACGGGCGGCCGACCGTGTTTCTTGATGCCCTCCCCGTCGAGCTTGCAGCGCATGCCGCACCCCACATAGTACTCCATCCCCCCGCTGTCACCCATGTACTTTAGTACCTCACAACGACACCGCACACACCGCACACACCGCACACACCGCACACACCGCACACACCGCACACACCGCACACACCGCACACACCGCACACACCGCACACACCGCACACACCGCACACACCGCACACACCGCACACACCGCACACACCGCACACACCGCACACACCGCACACACCGCACACACCGCACACACCGCACACACCGCACACACCGCACACACCGCACACGGAGAGAAGAGCGACGCACCTGATGGGGTCCTTGGATGAGGCGAACGACCAGTCGCACGAGAACAGGGCCACGTCCTCCGTGCCCACGTCGAAGTAGTGCTCGTAGAAGATCCCTACGTGCAATATATTTCATTTATTTTACATTTTGTTTTTAAGAAGATGGGCATAAGGGGGTACCTTCGTGGGTGATGGAAGAGAGGGAGGGCAGCCTGTCTTCATTGAGGCGCACCTCAAAGCTGGCCGTGTCCTTCGCTCCGCTCGCTGCACAAATAAAAAGAGCATTGTATCAGTTTGAAAATAAGTTGCGCATATATTCTGAGACATGTTATGTTTACCACACATAGATGACATGTTGTTGCTTGGTGTCTTTACGTGCGCGAGGCCTGCAGCAAAGAACAACACCAACACAAGAAGAGAGGCAGTGAGTACCCATGCTCATCATCCTGGGCGTCGTAGGTGTGGTAGATACCAGGTCCAAGTTTTGTTTGGTCAGGCAACCACCGGTTGTTCTCTTCAAAATAAATCAACTTGCTGGATGAAGTGAATGACCACCCTTTGGTGAAAAGAAACAAACTTGCTATTTTCCCTTTTTCCCTTCCTTTTTTTCTTTTCTCTCTTTCCCTTTTTTGGTGGGGAGCTTGGGGTGGGCTATCTGTACAGTACATTTCGGTTTGGGTTTCTCTACAATCAGGCAACAATGGAAGAGGAGGAGGCAAGAGTAGTAGAAGAAAATGGAGAAGAGGAGAGAGAAAGATATCTCTGTTCCTTGCCTCACACGGAGGAGGAATCGGCCGCGTGGCGATGCTCGTGGGCCTGGGCAAACTTCTTGAGGGAGCTCTCCGCGTAGAGCTTGCGCAGGGCAGTGAACTCTCGCGAGTAGTGGGTCGCCCCCAGCCCGCTCAAAACTACACACACACCCAATAAAAACACGTCAGCAAATACGAAGTAGTTTCATCACACAATGCATGACAACCATCCAACCATTCGCCGTCACAAGACGAGCGCCAACGCCCAGGAGGGAGAAGGAGAAGACGAACCTTTGGAGAACAAAAACTCACGGAAGGCTTCGCCCTTGCAGAAAATTGGTGGGTCGGGCATGGGCGGCTCGAACCTGGGCATCGTCTTCTTGCGCGCCACTGACACCCTGCAGAAGACACCGAAGCTGTGAAGTCAGCAGGGGGGTGTGGGGCACTGGTTTTTTCGCTGTGAGCGCGCCCACGTACTTGTAGTAGGTGTTGTTTCGGTCTGGCGCCTCCGCTTCAGGACACACCTGAATCAGGATCATTATCTCTGTATCGCACCACAGAACACGCATGAACATTCATGAGAGAGCTGCGACAGCCATGACGTGAACGAATCGAGTGTGGTGTGTGTGTGTGTGTGTCGCGTGTGCGTGAGTTAGGCCAAAGCGTACGGTTGGTCTTGGAGGCGATGGAATCCGGTGGGTGGGGTTTGTCGCCATCCTTGAATATGATCACCACCCGATCGTTTCCTATGTGCATGTGGGTCAGGCAAAACACACGGACCAAACGAGTCGTCAAAACCAGCACCACACACGCAACAAGACACACACGACACACGAAACATGTGTGGCCAAAGACATACCGATGTGTTTTTTACGCTCGAGCTGCTGCGGGTCCTTCTTGTAGAGCGGCAGGAGCGTGGAGACGTGGAACATGATCTCCTCCTCCCGCCATCGCGTGTACACCGAATGCGTGCCCGATCGGCCCTCTGCGTTGGTCGGGACAAACGACCACAGCGTCCGACGAGTTAGCCATATGTAGCAGTGGCACCGCAGTAGCGCGTCGAGCTAGGAATGCAGTGTACTTTGAATGTCGAGGCCGCCGTTGTGGCCGTTCCAGCCGAGCAGTTCGATCTTCTCCCCGAGCAGCTCCAGAAACTGCTCAAACTCGGGACTCGTTTCGACTGGACAAGCCGAAGAGAGAGGCGGGTCAAAGAAAAGAAAGAAAGAAAGACGGCAATCAAAACAAAGAGGCCAGCAAGAGAAAAAGAGCGAAGAACGAAGCCGGGGGAGGGCGAGGCAGTACCATTGGAAAAGAATTCGTTCTCGTTCGTCTGGTGGGCCTCGCAGTAGACCACGCCTACTCGGATCCCGTCCGAACGCGGAGCCGGTTCGTCCAGCGCCTGGTACGACGACGTCATCAGCACCCGCCGCACACACGACACGACCATCGGACACGCGTGCGGGAAAGCAGGGCAGGTACGATGATCTCTCGCTGTAGTGAGGATGTGTTGGGGAGAGCAACCACGCTGGTGACCGACACGTCGGGCTTGGCGATGCCCAGCAGATCCTGCAGGCCCGGCCTACTAACACGCACCGCACACGCACACGCACCGCACACGCACACGTATGAGCGACATTGGGTGAGTGGTTGGGCGAGCGCAACTACTACAATGCCCACACAGGGGAGAGAGCAGCGAGCAGGGCCAAAAAAACGCACTCGATGCCGAGCACGCGCTTCCAGAAGGAATTGGAGAGCTGCTGCTTGTCGACCGTGTAAAAGTCCGTGCCTCCCTGCGCATGTGCGTAACGAGCCAGGGTGTGAGGCGCGTGAGGGGCGTGAGGCGCGGGAGTGTGGGAGATCGAGGCGAGAGCCGCGGACCTGGAAGCGGACGAGGAGATGGTAGTGCGACTGGTCGTGGTAGAACATGGAGACGATCATCATGCCACCGCCGCGTACGTGCACCAGGAAGTTCTTGTGCGCTGCAGGCACGAAGAAAAAACCAAGGGCACACCACACACCACGCGACAATGACTTTCATGTCAAAATCAAATCGAGGATTCGCTCGTGGAGAGCGAGACGAGCAGAAATGAGCAGCGTATAAATAAAATGGATAAATTCATGAAGAGATTGAGCACGAACCAGTCTCAAGGTAGTGCAGGCGGTAGAAATGTGAGATTTGATACATCTGATCCTCGGCGCCGAGCTGTGCCAGAATGGAGCGCTGAGGCGGATAGAAGGGGCACGTCGAGCCCTTGGGGCCGACGAAGGCCGAGGCGGAAGAGGCGAGTGGCGAAGATGTAGACGAAGACGAGGAAGAAGAGGAAGAGGAGGATGCCGCGGGGGCGGAGGCGGAGAGAAGCCCAAATTGCGTCGTCCCATTTCGTTTCTTCTCCACAAACGACTCTCCACTGTTCCATCTGTCATCGTCGTCCGTGTAGCCTTCGACGATCCAGCCCGGCGCGTAGGAAAACATTATTGAATGAGATTAATTAAAAAATTATAGGGCGGGGCGAGATGAGCCAAGGGCTGAAGGTAGAGCTAGAAGCGTTCAAATAGTAGCGCCTGCCAGCCAGATGCAGCAGAAGACGACGGATGGGACGATTGAGGAGTCGAATCGATCGGGTGAGTTGTTTGCTTCGTTCCGCGCGCGTAGCTACCGTTACCGCTCCAAAATTGACAGCATACCCCGCATTCCTAGACTGTCTGCATTTAATATTAAATGGTTCCACTGCAACTCCCCGACCAACCGGCTGCGCAGGACAGTTCAGCGAATAGGAAAGCAGAAACGAGCGAGAAAACAGCGGTTGTTTGGGGCATTTAGGACCAACAAACAAACAAGCACCACCACAACAAGCACAACCGCACCTCAACATGTTGGAACCCAAGGACTGGCCTGCGATGGTGCTGCCAATGCCCTCCCAGTGGCACGTCTCCGGCTACTCCCGCGCCGGCGAAGCCACCGTACACCCCCCCCCGACTGTTATTTATTTTTTTTGATTATTTTATTTTTAATAGTTAAACACGCTCATTTTCTAATTCTTTTTATGTGCGCAGGGCTTCTACGTGAAGCAGATGCGGTGGTTCCTCGACGCCGGGGTGCCCACCTCCCAGATCAAGCCCGACATCGTCTTCATCTCCCACTCACGTACTTCTCTCTTTCTCTGCTCGCTGTGGGCGGTTGCTCATTCATTTGGCCGGACGTTATTATTCTGTTTATTCGTGTTCTCTGGCCAACGGTTTCATGTCTGTTGCCGTGATCGCCTTGCTGACCTGCCCTGCCCGCGCGGTGGTTCAGACACCGACCATTCGATGATGCTGCCCCTTCTCGTCGACCGGCGGAAGCCTCTCCGAGTGCGCCATCTTCACAGCGTTCGTGGTGTGATTGTGGTTCGACTGACTGGCCCGTCTGCCTTTGTTTACCAGGTCTACGCCCCAGCGGAGGCGGTGCCATTCCTTGCCGGCTACGTGGCGGGCATGAACAAGCTCAACCAGCAGTCTGACGACTACGAGGACCGGTACAGATGATGATCTTCTGGTCACTGTGTGTCGCGTGTGTCGTGTCGCTGTGCTCAAGGTCTGTCGCCTGCGCAGGTCCGCTGGCTACACTTACATCCCGGTCACCACCGGCCAAACGGTGCAGATCGACAACAAGTTCTGGGCCCATGTACGCTTCTTCACAACTGCGTGGGGCAGTGGTTGCCTGAGCAGCGCTGACGGGTGCCAACTATAACAACAACAACAACAACAACAGGTGATCGATTGCGAGCACCCGGTGACGAGCGTGGGGTACTGCTTCTTCGAGAAGCGCAAACGACTCAAGGACGAGTTCAAGGGCAAGTCCGGACGAGAGCTTGGGCAGCTGCGCAAGGATGGTGTCGAACTCAACGAAGAGGTATCACTACCACACGCACACGCACACGCACACGCACACGCACACGCACACGCACACGCACACGCACACGCACACGCACGCGCACACGACTTACTAATTCTTGTGTCGATGAATCCAAGGCCGAGCTGCCGTACATGGCATTTTTGGGCGACACCACGGGAAAGGTCTTGGTCGATCACGGCAAGCTGCTCAGGTATCACCCCGCCCCAGGGAATGTGAAGCGCCAGGCGCGTGCCACGCGATGACGCGTCGCCTGACCCGCCTCCCAATCTGTGTGCAACACGTGGCTACAGCACGTACCCGGTGGTGTTCATCGAGTGCACCTTCTTCCAGCCTGACCACAAGGACGCCGCGGCAGGCAGCCAACACCTCCACTGGAGGTACAGTCGATTGTCGTTTGGCTGTTTCGTGATCGTTTTCGTTTCGTGATCGAGTGTCGTGTTAGACTGACTGTGTTTTTTTAATGCAGTGATCTTCGTCCGTTCGCGCTGGAGCACAGGGACACGACGTTCATCCTCATTCACTTCTCCAAGCGGTACAGCGATGACGAGATCCACGCCTTCTTCGACAACGAGCGGGCCTCGCAACGTGAGCTGGAAGCCGCCGAAGACGCCGCGGCTTCGGCCACCGGTGGCTGCCCCAAGCGAAGACCGGCCTTCGACAACGTGGTCGTCTGGCTCGCCGGCCTGGGCCAGCACACAGCCGAGTCTGCTCGAGCGGGGCCGATTGGCGAATGAAGTTCCTCACATTCCGTATTATTTTGTTTTTATTTTCTGCCCGCGTGTGATTGGTGCAGATGCCGGTGCTGAACCGCTTGTCGTCAGTCGGCCGGGAGGTGGGTGGTGGGGCGCCGAGGGTTGTGTGGTCTGTCGCGCGCATTTCGGGACTCCTGTAGGTGCACCGGATGAACCCGGACGAGAAGAAGAGGAACCGGCTCAATACACCTAACAATCCAACTTAAGTCGAAACAACACCGCACGCCATGGTTAGACAGATCAACTCCAAGCGCGAGCTCGACCAGGAGCTGCAAAAGGCGGGCAACAAGCTGGTATGTGTGTTCACTTCCTCGTTTCTCGCGCATGTGGTGCCACTCGCTC